AGTTTGGGCAGAAGAAAGTTCGTGAAGAAACGCTTCACACTCCCTTCCCTGATTACCCACAAGCTCAAGGCTATCACTAGGACTCAAAACTTACACTGGCTCATCTGAGCCACACCTTCTTTCAGCTGGGCACTCAGAGGACCCGGCTCTGGCCCTACTCCAGCCATGCCCTTCTTCTTAAGGAATTATTTGGGGTTCCTGCATGTGCCCACGTAGAACCCTCTCCCTTCACTTCCAGCCCATCTTCTGGGGACCCAGGATCCCCATATTCCCTGTCCTCTTCCAGGTCCTGCATTGGTCTCCCAGGGGCAGACCGTGCCACTGTGTGCACCCCAGAGCCCAAGGAGTGGCCAAGGACAACTGTCTTCAGGGAAGATATGGATGGAGCACAGGTGCTTCCTGCCATGACCCTGGGCCTCCTTGCTGCCATGTGAAGATGCAACACTCTCAGGAATCTATAAATTCTAAATGCCAACTTGGCCTTCCTGCTGGTTGTGGTAGAGGTTGGTCTGATACTGGGTGTGTTCTTTAGCTACACCTCAAATCAGGATTTACATTGCAACAGACAGAAAATTTCAGGGGACAGAGGAAAAAAGAATGGAAAAAGAGAAAAGACAATTTCTTCTTGCACTGAATTCATAAATTTAAATTGTGGCATTGCCTCAGATTTGTGTTAAGGGAAAGATGGTGGAACATATTCATGAAAAGAAAATGTTTTTCTTCTCGCAGCTGGGCGTGTGTGGGATTTTATTGTGCCCCAAAGTAAAAAAAAAAAAAAAAGCTTAAAAAAAAAAGCAAATCAAGTGAACATATCAAAAAGACACAGGAGCAGTTTGAAGGGGCTCCTACACAGCTAATCTTGGACAACTTGAACATCAAAATAATAAGAGGGGGTAGATTATAATTCATTTAATAAAATAGGTATCCATAGGTTCATGCTGATATAAATAAATATAGGAAAAGGAAAACTTCTTCGCGGTAGAAAACAAACTATGTAGATGGAGTTATGAGACGATCACTTGGCAAACATCACAGTAATAAATAATTCAGGCAAAAATCATCAATGGATGCTAAAACTCATAGATGAAAGTACTACTTTCATAGAAACTCATTTCATGAGAATAAGATATTTACATACTCTCAGGTATATCACAACAAAATATTTAGTAATTACAAAGAGAAAAAGTAGTAACCTCACAGTAGAGATACCTGGCATTCCGGGTAACGAAAGTTAACAGCCTCAATAAGGGGATAAACGGATATCATTGGCCTCCTGCTATGAGGCAATAAGGATTCAACGTTACTTCTGTGCATTCTCATGCCAACACGCAGGCCCTCAATCTGATCCCGAGGATACATCACACAAACCCCAATTGAGGGACATTCTATTATATAAAACAACTGGTCTGTACTACTCAAAGTTGTAAATGTAATAAAAGACAAAGACAGACTAAAGACTCAAGAGACATGACAACTGAAGGCAATGTGTGATTGTGGATTGGATCATGGACTGGAAAAAATCAAGTGTTGTGTGTATTTATATTTATATGTGGACATTATTTGGACAATTGGCAGAATATGAATAAGGTCCACAGATTATAGTGTTGTATCAATATAATGATATTGATTTTATTATAGTACTGTGTTGTAAGAGAATACCCTTGTTCTGAGAACAAGTATTTAAGTATTTAAACATGGGGCCGGGCACAGTGCCTCACGCCTGTAATCCCCGCACTTTGGGAGGCTGAGATCATTGGATCCCCTGAAGTCAGGAGTTTGAGACCAGACTGGCCAATGTGATGAAACCCTGTCTGTACTAAAAATACAAAAATTAGCTGGGCATGGTGGTATGCACCTGTAATTCCAGCTACTTAGGAGACTGAGACAGGAGAATTGCTTGAACCTGGGAGGCAGAGGTTGCAGTGAGCTAAGATCACACCATTACACTCCAGCCTGGGTGACAAGAGCAAAACTCCATCTCTAAATAAATAAATAAATAAATAAACATAAATAAATAAATGTATTAACAAACATAGAATTAATTAGGAATAATGGGGCATCGTATCTACAACTTACTTTCAAATGGTTCTGGAGGAAAATACATATAAGGAATAAAAAGAAGGAGAAAATAGTGAAGCAAAATGTTAGGAATCTGGATTAAGAGTCAGAGTTTCTCCACCTCCCGTAGCTCTGTGCCCATTACCATCCCTGACACACACCCCTGGCGGTCCCCACGCCCTTGATCAGCCTTTCACTGTGTCACTGAGGGAGAACAACACACTCAGGTTCTCACTGATCTGCATCTTCCTGATTTGCCAGAGACCACAGGGCTCCAGCCAAGTTTTCTAGAGACCTTCCTGATAATTAAGACAAAAATTCAAGATGAGAAAGCCACACAATGGACTTGGGGGTAATAATGAAACTTTAGCCCAAGACCACTAAAAATATAAAAAAAAAAAAAAATGTTAAACTCCCTAATGACACCTCACCATCTTTTTTTTTTTTTGAGATGGAGTCTCCCTCTATTGTGCAGGCTGGAGTGCAGTGGTGTGATCTTGGCTCACTGCAACCTCTGCCTCTCAGATTCCAGCAATTCTCCTGCCTCAGCCTCCTGAGTAGCTGGGACTACAGGCATGCACCACCACGCCTGGCTAATGTTTTTTACCTTTTATCCACAATATTTTATAAATGTTCTTCCATTTCGAGCTTCTTTGGGGTCATAATCCAAAAAAGTATACATTGTATTGAATCTAAAGTCTACCACTTTTTGGCATACCTAATAATTTCCACTTACCTAAATTTTATTTTTATGTTTTTTTTTTTTTTTTTTTTTTTTTGAGACGGAGTTTCACTCTTGTTACCCAGGCTGGAGTGCAATGGCGCGATCTCGGCTCACCGCAACCTCCGCCTCCTGGGTTCAGGCAATTCTCTTGCCTCAACCTCCTCAGTAGCTGGGATTACAGGCACACGCCACCATGCTCAGCTAATGTTTTTGTATTTTTAGTAGAGACGGGGTTTCACCATGTTGACCAGGATGGTCTCGATCTCTTGACCTCGTGATCCACCCGCCTCGGCCTCCCAAAGTGCTGGGATTACAGGCTTGAGCCACCGCGCCCGGCCTCTATTTTTATGTTTTTGCCTTTTTCCATGTTCTAATTTTTTTAGGGTTTTTTTTTTTTTGGATTTTATTAACATAAGGTATATGATGCCTCAATTTCTTTCTCTTTTTCCTTTTTTTTTTTTTTGAGATGGAGTTTCACTAGTTGCCCAGGCTGGAGTTCAGTGGCTCGATTTTGGCTCACTGTAAACTCTGCCTCCCAAGTTTAAGCGATTCTCCTGCCTTAGCCTCCCAAGTAGTTGGGATTAGAGGTGCCTGCCACCACACCCAGCTAATTTTTGTACTTTTAGTAGAGACAGGTTTTGCCATGTTGGCCAGGCAGGTCTCGAATTCCTGACCTCAGGTGATCCATCTGCCTCGGCCTCCCAAAGTATTGGGATTATAGTCGTGAGCCACCACGCCTGGCTGATGCCTCAGTTTCTTATCACTAGCATCAGTGTTTCCAATTTTCTATTTCTAGTCATTTTTATAAGGGGAAAAATGCAACACTACACACTGTTGCCACTCAGGAAAGTTGGTGATGCTGCTAAAATTTGCATGTTGCCTGGCAGGCAACTCCATCATGTGACAGCTCAAAATATACGTTTATCAGCTGATGTATACAAGTCCAAACTTGGCATATAAACAGTGATTTATGGGCCAGTGAGCAAGGCACAAAAGGGCATGGGTTTTACAAAACTAAAACTTACAGAAGCATAATGTCCTACATAAATTGCTAAGAGGTAAAAGTGAGAAGAGCACTTATAAAGCTACAAAACTAGATCCTGATGCCACTGACATGTGCCTAGCAGTCCTAGGCTTCCTCCTTTGTGCTCCCATTCCAACCTGCATAAGTCTGTACTTTATTTTACCATGTGTGTTGCTGTCATTGTTAATTAATATACAAACACATACACACATAGTCATCCCCAATAGACCAGAAAATTATTTTTAAAAGAAATCATATTTTATCCTTCTTTTTGATCAGCTTCTAGCATAATGCCATATATGTGTTCAACAAAAAATTGTGTAATTAGTGAATCCTATGAATCAATTATCCTATAACCTACATCTAGAACTAGATCACTGTTGCCCCAGCTTACGTCAAGTGTCACTTTTCCAACATTTACGCAATAATTCACATTGTTCCTATTTACCTATCAAATATACACATATGGGCATCGAAAGGACCAATGTTTCACAACCCTCAACATGCCTGCAAGTCCAGAATAACTAAAGACAGATATATTGATGCATCTCAAATGAAGACACTCTTGATGTGTTTCCTAACTGGAAAATAGGTACTAGTTTCCCGAAAGTCCTGGAAAATAAGCCAAAATGCAAGTTCAAGGTATTTTGGGCTAAACTTAGTGAGGAAGCAGTGACATAATTTGGATAGGCCCTCGGTCTTAGAGTTCTGATTTAAGGCAAAAGGAAATAATGAAACTTTTTTTCTTTACCAAAAATGAGAAAAAAAAATCAAAAATAATTTATAAATAAGCAAACAATTCTCTCATCCAAAGAATTAGAGTAAATCATATCGTTTTATAGCTGGCAACATATTTTCCAAACTGTTCCATTTTGCAGACGAGGAAAACTAAGATACTGTTTCAACAAGAGGGTTTTACCTGGGGCAAGAAGGATAGGGAATAAGTCAGGCATCAAGGCACACACCAAAAATGGAAGACAGGCAAATTGCTATAAGCATGGTGTGACTTAGTCCTTGTGACACAAACACTGTCTTCAGATTGTTTTACAAAGCCCTAGTCATTTGTGAGTGACAAGACAATGTAAAGGAGCTCTGAGGGATGGCAGAGACTTTTCAGTATGTACTTTATGAATAGCTATGAAATGATTCGTCGCTCTGACAGATAAGGAAATAGCAAGGAGCATTTCAACTGACCTTTTCTCCAACCACGGGAGGTAGGCAGGGCATTCACATTTCAGGGTTGTAAAAGCCTGACCAAACACATGTTGGGGGAATTTCTTCAGCTCAGCCTCAGTCATCTTTCGAAATCCCAGAACCACATCAGCCCAAAATGGCACTTCTTCGGTAGGAGTGCTCTGAAATATCTGCCAACTCAAACACATTAAATGAAAAATTTTCCTGAAATTTGTGAAATAACATATTTCTAGTAAACTTTATGTGACATTCTCTAGAACATTTATTTATTTATTTTATTTTATTTTTGAGATAGGGTCTCACTCCATCACCCAGACAGGAGAGTAGTGGCACAATCATGGCTCACTGCAGCCTCAACTTTCCGGGCTCAGGAAATCCTCCTGCTTCAGCCTCCCAGGTAGCTGGGACCACAGGTGCATGCCACCACTTCCAACTAATTTTTAAAATTATTTGTAGAGCCAGGGTCTTACTGTGTTGCCCAGGCTGGTCTCAAACTCCTGGGCTCAAGTGATTCACCTGCCTTGGCCTCCCAAAGTGCTGGGATTACAGGCATCAGCCACCACACCTGGCCTAGAGCATTAAAAAAATGTAGTTTCTATAAACACAAAGAGAAAATGATCTATTTTACTATCCTCTTGGATTCAGATAACTCAGTAGCTAAATAAATGGCAGGTGTTGGTGATTGGGCAAATAAGATATCTTAAAAGTAACATACCTTTTAAAGATTGAATTTAATACTTCTTTTCTAAAAAGCTCTTGCCCAGATTTGGTTGTTAACAAGAAGGCTGTAATAGTACTGCTAATAGCTGCTATGCAAATGTTTAGATTGGTAAGTATTGGGTTGTTTTTTTTTTTTTTTTTAGGCTGAGGCAGAGTTTTGCTCTTGTTACCCAGGCGGGAGTGTGGTGGGGGGATCTCGGCTCACCGCAACCTCCGTCTCCTGGGTTCAGGCAATTCTCCTGCCTCAGCCTCCTGAGTAGCTGGGATTACAGGCACGCGCCACCATGCCCAGCTGATTTTTTGTATTTTTAGTAGAGACGGGGTTTCACCGTGTTGACCAGGATGGTCTCGATCTCTTGACTTCGTGATCCACCCGCCTCGGCCTCCCAAAGTGCTGGGATTACAGGCGTGAGCCACCGCACCCGGCTTGGGTTGTTTTTATCAGTAAATGAATAAACGTTATAATACCAGGAGTTGTGGCTCACACCTATAACTCCAGCACTTTGGATGGCCGAGGGGAAGTTCAAGACCGGTCCGGGCAACATGGTGAAACCCTATCTCTACAAAAAATACAAAAAGTAGCCGGGTGTGGTGGCACAAGGCTGTAGTCCCAACTATCAGGGAGGCGGAGGTGGGAGGATCAACAGAGCCCTGGGAGGTGGAGGCTACAGTGAGCTGAATTGCACCACTGCACTGCAGCCTAGCCAAGTGATACCCTGCCTCAAAAGAAAAACAAAAAAAAAGAATAAATGTTATAAATCATCATTACTCAAAAAAAGCAAGGAAAATAATTTGAGTGCTGTGCATAGTTGCTAATAATTCCCACATCAGAATGTGCATCTCTAGGTAATTGATTCAGAGCAGTCCCCATGAAGGTACAAATGTCCTTTACTGCAGTGCTCTGTGCTGGCCCACTCTTGCCCTGGGCTAGATTGCCCTCTTCCATATCCTCACCACGACCTACAGGCCAGATATTTAGAAGGCCACCTCTCCAGTCCTGAGCACCTAGAAGGTTATACCTCCAGTCCATTCTGTCTCTCGAATTCCAAAAGCAGATCCTGACCCATGTTACCTACTCCCTACCGGATAAGTCCACTTAGAAGTCTCATGCATTTACACACACACACACACAATTTTCCCAGTCCTACGTAACTCAGAAAATGAGTTATCTATCCATGCAGGCAGGTGCTAATCCCCAGAAACCCAAGAATCATGTTTGATTCTCTCTCCCTACTCACTTCTCACACACCATCAGCCGCCAAGTCCCAGCTAACCTCTTAGGCATTCTCAAGTCCATCTACTCTCTGCTTCTACTGCCCACACCCAATCTATCTCATCATCGTCTCTTCCCACAAACATATTCTCTACACTGCAGAAAACATCTTTGAAATGCAATTATGACCACTCACTTCACTGTGTAAACTCCCTCAACGGCTTCTCATTTCTCTGGACTTCCTTCAGTCCTTCCCACATATCACAGTCGCTCTAGACTCAGGTCTAGGTGTGTGCTGTTCCCTCCACCTGGAACGCTGTCTCCTTCTTCTCCCACCCGGTTTCTGCCCCTACTTCACCTCTACAACATCACCCATCTAACTTACACTCTTCCTGATGGTCTCAGATAAAACACTTTGATCCGGATGCTTTCTCATCACTTCCCAGAGCAAATTTCTTCTCCAGACGTATGCTTCCAAAGCACCCTAGCCTTCCTCTTGGTAACTCATGTCCCAGTGGGTTTAGTAACTGATTCGATTTAGTGCATTCCCTACAGACCATAAGCTACATAAGGGAAGGACTGTGTCTGGCTTCCTTAAAAATTAACTCAACACATATTTATTAAGCATGTACTATATACCAAGCAGTATTACTAAATTGCTCACTACTGTAGCCCTAATACCTAAGAAAGAACCTGATTCTGGAGAATGCTGAATATATTGTTTTGAGGAAATGAATAGGAATAAGGAAAGGAATAAGGCTACGTACTTATGCCAAAGTTGCACAGGACATTTGAATTTTGAACATGGCTGTTTCCAAAAATTACTTAGAGCCAAAATTTGTGAATGAGACTGGTTCATGTTGGTTTTGGAAAAAAGACATGTGATTGTAAATCAAAGAGACGTTTTTCCTACTTGGCTCATCAACTGGCTCTAGATTTAGTTATACGGAATAATTGATCCGTAGATTGATAGAAAAGCAAAGCTGCTACTTGGGGAAGGGGATTTTGGGAAATTACTGATGTCAACATCGTCTTGGTGTTTGCAATGGTAACGGAAAGCAAGAAGAGAAAAAGGGTAGAAATTATTCACCCAATGCAAGTGTATACACTAGACTAGCAGAAAATGTCAGTGGACAGCCTGACATCGAAAGAGGAGGTAAGACACATTTTTTCAGAAGGCTGCAAAAAGACTGTGTTATCACATAGGATAACACATGTATGTTACCTGAGTAACATACACCAACAACATGTATGTTACATCATATGATGACACTGAGATGTAAATTGAAAGTAATAGAATATTTAGTGACCTCTGTTTAAGAAGATATTTTAAAATGTCATGTTTTAAGTGCTAGTCTTACTAACAGAAATGTTAAATAGTATTTATTCCCAAACTTTCATTTAATTATGGATATCTACTGAAATTACACCTTAAAAATGAAATAGAAGCGTGGTAACAGTTTCAGGAATTTTTTTTTCCAAATGGCCCTTCAAAAGACAACTTTAGTGACCTCTAAAATTTGCTTCTTTGGAATATCTCATTCTCCAAGGACACCAAATAAATAAGAAGCCCCTCTCCCTAGGTCTCTGCAGCCATCCCAATGTCATACCTGTTTGCTTTCCATTGGCTGCACCATCCCCACATCACCCAAACCCAGCATTTACCTCCTACATATTTTTTTAACCAAATTTGCAAATCACTGCATGGTCTCTGAGGAAACCCAAAATCAATCGTATTTGTGATGCGAAACTGTGATTGTTGTTTATTGTTAAAAAGTGTAATACCACAACTTGTCTTTCTTAAGTTCTCTGGAGTAAAGCCTATAATGCTCTTTCTGAATCCTCCTGCATCAAAGTCAGCATTCTGCTCACAGTAGACACTGAATAAATGTTTTATGTTGAACTCTAATGCTCATTAAGATCATTCTACATTCTAAAACAACTTCAGATTTCTTACCCTGATACCAAATGAACACCAGCATCTCCAGCTTCTGCAGAATTGGCAATTGCGAAGAGGTGATTAAAGGTCTCTCTGAACCACTGCTTCTGCTTGTGAATGGGTGTGTCTGTAATCACGGAGAAAAGCAAAGTGCAACAGAAAGGAAAATGATGATGATGACAGTGCTTCAAATAAACTCCTTCCCAGAAACTTGGAAAAAAAATGAGGCAAAAATAAAATAAGGAAGCAGGGAGGAACATTAACATAAAGTACCACATTGCGGTGGAGGATCTGTCAGCGGCAAGAGATTTGCATGTTGACACATGCTGTCCATATCTGCTCATATGATTAATCAATGGAGGAAAACATTGATTGGCCAATAAGGGCCAATCCTGACCTGCGAGCCGGTTGGAAGGTGGTCTTTGGTACTAGGTATGTTGCAGAGATCCTTGGCAGGTCTATAACCAAACTGAGCGGAGCTAAGTTCATGGCTGCGGGATCCAGCTGGCCACAGAGTTGAGACAATAGGACAAAGGACCGAGGGCCTCTTTCTTGGGGACTGAAAACATAATGGATGACATGGGCAGGTGTGTGGGGCCCAGGTCAACCAGGACAGGGAACAGACTGCACATTGATGGGGAGCCCTAGAGGCTCGCCTCCTGGTATGAGGAAAGAAGCCTTGCAGGCTGGAGGCAGCCCCCTGCAGGCCAGACTTCCCAGCAGGGGCTGCCATTACCCTCCACACCAAGGAATCAGGCGCCAGCCAGAGTAGCATTTCTGAGGTCAGCACAGTATTTGGGGACTACACCATCCCCCAGGCATCTCTGCCAGAGCACATGAGGTTGGACCCAGACACAGCTTTTAGAAGGGTACCAGGCCTGTTGGGGAAGAAACAAGAGGCAGGATTTAAGCCTCAAAATAATAGTGTCCAGTGTAGACACAGAGAGAGCAGGAATGACCCCAAATCAACGACAAATCCAGCTGTGGCTGAAGTATGTGGCCATCTATTTCCTGTGGAAGGATCATGAGAGAGTGGCTAGTGTTAGGGCAGGGACCAAGGATCAATAAGCCTGAGGGGCTGCTACGACGGGAGCCACAGAGGAGACACAGAAACTGAGGCAGAGAGGATGCTAGGTTGGCTCTACTTGGAGAGATGTCCCTGAAATCCAAGGAACAGATATAAAGACATTTGGAGATATCCTGCTTCCCAGGCAAAGCCCCCAGGTCACTGAAGGCATGTCAGTAGTGGGATTTTTCAGACAATTCACTTGTTACAGGGCCAATAAATATTTCTTTAGTAGCAAACCTGTACTGCCAATTTTAAACATGTGCCCATGTGAAATTAACACTATATTCCAAAATTGCACACTGGGGATGCTGCTTTAGAAATAAGGAATAAATAAATTATAAGCTTCAGAGAGAACTAAATTAGACCTCAAGTAGATTTTACCCAACAATCTATGCCAGTGTGTGAGGCTGTATTGAAATGCAACTCCCTGTTCTCACCCCAAACCTTAAAAACAAAATAGCGGCGGAGACTCACATGCTGCAGAAGTTATCTGGAAAGAACAGGCAATTCCCATTCAACAGTGGGTCTAGGAAGGCTGGTAACCTAATTCATCTTCAAGCACTGGTAACACAAACTATAGCTGGAATGGTGGGAATAATAGCAAATGCCGATATAGCACTTACTATGTGCCAGGCACTCTTCTAAATGCTTTACATATATCAACTCGTTTAATCTCCACAGCAACCCTATGGGACAGACATGGCCTCCATATGGTATTGGCATTTATGAGCACAGGAGATATTTATGGCTGGGACTCATCTGAATAGTGTCTAGAAAAAAAACCTAATGAGAAGACCAAAGTCTTTATCTGGCAGCACCACAGAGATAAAAACCCTGGGCCAGGAGACCCAGCCACCTGGCCAGAGAGAGAATGCGGGCCTCGATGGCCTGATGAACCCTTAGATGAGTGATCCTCTTTGAGGGATGATTCTATGACTAGCTGGCAGCCTTCTGAACACTCACTCAGGCCTGGAGCAGACAAGGGAGAGCCTGGAAAATGGTCCCAAGAACTCTCGTCACAAGAAAAGCACCAAGAGTAAGCTGGTGTCTTAGTCTGTTCTGGCGCTGCTAATAAAGACATACTCCAGACAGGGTAATTTATAAAGGAAAGAAGTTTGACTCACAGTTCAGCATGGCTGGGGAGGCCTAAGGAAACTTACAATCATGGTGGAAAAGGAAGCAAGCAAGTCCTTCTTCACATGGTGGCAGGAAGAGAAGAATGAGAGCTGAGTGAAGGGGGAGAAGCCCCTTTAACCATCAGATCTCCTGAGAAATCACTCACTATTGTGAGAACAGCAGCATGGAGGTAACTGCCTCCGTGATTCAATTACCTCCCACCAGGTCCCTCCCATGACATTTAGGGATTATGGGAACTACAATTCAAGATGAGAATTGGGTGGGGACACAGCCAAACTATATCAGCTGGCATCTGGTGGACATACCAGGTACCTGTGTTTGTTTCCCGGGATGCAGTTCCCAGGAGTTGACCAGCCAAGTTCCTGGACCTGCAATGCAAAGGCCACTGCCATTACCACCCTAACAAAAGATGTGTCTATTCTTTTTTAGGGGTCTTTGGGCTGGAAAACACTAAGAACCAGCAAAGGTAGAGATGCCATGCTGAAAACAGGAGGGTTAAGGAAACCCATGCAAACTGGATGCTAGGACCCCAGCCTCTCCCCACTCACCTTCTGGAATGCCAGCTGGCATCTGGGCCTTCACTCTCCCCAGGCAGGACATGGAAGCCTCTTCCCTGGGAAACATGACCCACTCAAGAAGAAAAACTTAAACTGAATGACATCACAGATGTCTCCAAATAAATGGCCCTGCCCTCTTACTCCAGCAAGCTCACTGGCAACAAGCCCTATGCAAACACTCAGAAATTCCTATCTGCTGTTCAGGGTCCCACTTATAAACATCAGTAGATGGGTAAAGAATACCACACGGCCAAGAAAAACCTCTGTCATGAAAAAGGAGAACCTCATAAAACAAAAAGCCCCCACAATTTGGAGATGACAGAAACTCAGACACTACTCAGGGAGAAAGTTTTTAAAAACTATTATTAGGGCCGGGCGCGGTGGCTCAAGCCTGTAATCCCAGCACTTTGGGAGGCCGAGGCGGGTGGATCACGAGGTCAAGAGATCGAGACCATCCTGGTCAACATGGTGAAACCCCATCTCTACTAAAAATACAAAAAATTAACTGGGCATGGTGGTGCGTGCCTGTAATCCCAGCTACTCAGGAGGCTGAGGCAGGAGAATTGCCTGAACCCAGGAGGCAGAGGTTGCGGTGAGCCGAGATCGCACCATTGCACTCCAGCCTGGGTAACATGAGTGAAACTCCGACTCAAAAAAAAAAAAAAAAAAATTATTATTAGTATCTTCATGAAGATAAGGGACGACATTGCAACCCTCTAACACAAAGATGTTATAACAAAGGAAAATTCAGAGAACAAAAAAGAGCTTTGGAATATTAGAAATATTATAGTAGAAATAAAAAATTCAATAGCAAGATAAAAGAAAATTGAGAAAGTCTCTCAGAAAGTAACATAAAGAAAGATAAATAGGAGGAGGAAAAAGCTAAAAGAACTGGAGGACCAGTCTGGGAGGTCCAGCATATTAACATTTCCAGAAAGAGGGAAAAGGACTTCAGAAGGGGGGAAGTTAACAACTGAGTAACTCCAAGACTGCTTCTCAAATTGAAGAACATGTGTTTCCAGATTAAAAGGACAGGGCAATTTTTATATTCCAGATTGCTGGGGTTTGTAATCAATGGTGTAAACTCTTTGATCGTTTAAACTTTGGACATATATAACTTTGATAAAAAATAAAATTAAAGAGGAAAATGACAATAGAAATGAGAAAATGGGGACAGTGAGTATAAACCTCATTTCTGCAGTGTGATTTTTGTATCTATTTAATGCTATTTTCTTCCTCTTCTCATTTCAAGTGGAAAATGCAGAAAGGAAATGATGCATGGACTTGTTCAAAAATCAATGCACTGGCGGGGCATAGTGGCTCACGTCTGTGATCCCAGCACTTTGAGGCCAGGAGTTCGAAACCAGCCTGATCAACATGGCGAAACCAGCCTGATCAACATGGCGAAACCTTGTCTCTACTCAAAATACAAAACTTAGCTGGTTGTGGTGGCATATGCCTTTAGTCCCAGCTACTCAGGAGGCTGAGGCACAAGAATTGCTTAAACCCCAGAGGTGGAGGTTGCAGTGAGCCAGTGAGTCAGGATCATGCCACCGCGCTCCAGCCTGAGTGACAGAGCAAACTCTGTCTCAAAAAAAAAAAAAAAAAAAAATCCATGCATCTTCAGGTTTTAATACATATTGACTAACTATGATCGACTAATTACAAACATATTGATAATTATTTTATACAGGCTTAGAAGTCAGGATAATTTTAGTTCCACTACAAGTAATTTCTGACTTGATGGTCATTACTGAGCGTCAGTGGAAAGGCAGAGCCACCAATCATGTAATCGTCAGTGCTGTTCATCACATGCTTTTGCTATACATTTTCTAGGAACTATAGAGTCACACTTGCTAGCCTCCTGCTGAGGGTGGGGACATGTGGCCTGCTCTGCCAAAGAGTTATCATTGGAAGTGTTAAAAGTTGCTTCCTGTCCAGAGTGTTTAATCATAAAAGTGAGACCCTCAGAGATCCCTGCCCCTGGGCACATGCGCTGATGACAATCAGGATGACAGCTGCCCCATCGTCTTAGGTCCCTGGATGACAAGCTGGCCCCTTGCTGATGCTCAACCCACATGTAGTGTGAGCACGAACAAACCTTTGCCTTTTAAGCTGCTAAGATTTGGAGGTTGTTTTTGTCCTGCAGCATAACTGAGGCTGTCCTAAGAGATGAACCAACAGGATGTGAAAACCACACATCATGGCTAAGCACGGTGGCTGTAATCCACCGAGGCCGAGGCAGGTGGATCGCTTGAGGCCAGGAGTTGGAGACCAGCCTGGGCAACATGGCAAGACCTCATCTCTACAAAAATACAAAAATTAGCCAGGTATGAAAGTATACACCTGTAGTCCCAGCTACTCAAGGGGCTGAGGTAAGAGGATCGCTTGAGCCTGGGAGATTGAGGCTGCAATGAGCCAAGATCACACGACTGTGCTTTAGCCTGGATGACAGAGTGAAGCCCTATCTCAAAAAAAAAAAAAAAGAAAAGAAAAAGAAAAAAAAAAACAGGTATTACCCTTACACCTACAGCCAGCCATCTTTGTCGACAGAATTCCACTAACATCATTCCATCAGACATCTACTGTGTCTGACACAGGAGCTGAAGTCTCTCACCTGGATAAGTGTGAGGGATGAGCATTCCGGCTGCCACATCACTAGTGGTATCTGGAGTAAACTTGTCTGAAATGACGGTAACAGAGCATCGGGGCACCAGTTTGGAGATGCATACAGCTGTAGAGAGCCCCACCACACCTGCCCCCACAACTGCAATCCGTGCTGTGTCCATGGGCCTGTAAAGAGGGAAATATACACCTTATTTTAAGGATTATTCCATCCAGACAAAGTTTGGCCTTGACAGTCTTTGTCTTAGGTCTTCAGCCACTCAGAAGGAAACTTAGTCTATTGGTGTTTCTTGTGGGATAAAGAGGATATCCCTATAAGCTCACTTCCCATTAATTAACGGGGTATGGGCAGCAAGGACTCTACGGGTTTTTAGAGAGTAGCACAAAACCGGCTTGGATTTGCCTTTAGAACACACAGCCAGTAAACAGTTCTGCATTTGGAGGGACTTTTCTACCCATTCTTCCCCATTTCCTTTTTTCTTTTTTTTCCTGCAAGATGGTGTCTTGCTCTGTCGACCAGGCTGGAGTGCAGTGGCGAAATCTCAGCTCACTGTAACCTCTACCTCCTAGGTTCATGCAATTCTCCTGCCAAAGTTTCCCAAACAGCTGGGATAACAGGTGCCTACCACCACACCCAGTTAATTTTTGTATTTTTAGTAGAGATGGAGTTTTAGCATGTTGGCCAGGCTGGTCTCGAACTCCTGACTTCATGATCCACTCGCCTCAGCCTCTCAAAGTCCTGGGATTACAGGAGTGAGCCACCACACCAGGCCTCTTCCCCCTTTCCAAAACCATTTTCCTTATGGTTACAACCTAGGGAAGGCTGATGAAAAACCACAGAGCTGTAGTCTCTGCTCCCAGGAACCACCTGAGGAGCGGTGGTGAGGGTCATGACCCATGAGCAACTCGAAACTCAACTCTGTCTACAAACTTGTTTCTAATAAGAAGGACGTCACAGAAAGTTTCAGCAGCTGAACTCAATCTCCTCTGTCATCTGCCTCTGACACCGGCCCCTTCCCGGTCCTGGACTGGTCCTGTAACCTCAGGAGTAGCTTTTGGTCTCCTTGCCTCTACTCCCTCATCCGTAACACAGAACGGACAGATGACTTGCTCCTTTGGGTGGTAAACAAGAGAGACCCAGTGAGGTGGCCTCATAAAGGGGGCTCCTTGGGACAGTCTGAATGGAAATGCAGGGGGCAGATTGTTGAGAAACATTAAATTTACCCTGCCCCCATGGCTCCCTTGTGGAGAATACCTTTTAGTTTGTGATTAGTGGTAGGTGGGTAACAGCTGCCTGCTTGGAATATTTTTGAGTTATAAGTGAATACAGGACACCTGTTTATTAATAATAATCACGTGTTAAGAGAGAATACATGGATCAGCATCTGCTCAGGGCCTTCAGCCTGGAATGCTGTCAGCTCCTGAGGCTCTCAGCTCACTGGCACCCCGGATAGACCCACTTTGTTGTTCTACCTGGGTGTCTGCTTCTCATTGCCTTCAGCGCCGCCTGGGTGGAGGTCTTCCGACCGAGCTGGAACTCGGTAGCAGACATCCAGGAGCCCAAGCTGGGCATCCTGGGGCTGGCACCCAGTGTCCCACCCCTCACCCACGGAGCCTTGGTCCACTGTCAGCATCCCCGTCTGCCTTTGTTTCCCTGTTTTTGGCTTTCCCCATCCGTTCCTGCTCTAACTCTCTCTCAGGTTTAAACTCCAGACAGAGAAAATGCAATTGTCCCACCTGGTCATTGCCACCTCTGTTGGACAAAATTCTAGCACCAGGCAAGCTTGCTGGGCTAAGCCAGCCTCTGAATCTGCCCTTGTCATAGTTGCCCTTCTCTGTCCACAGCACAGTGGTCAGGGCACTGGGCCACATGGTACAAACCATGACCTCCCACACACAGGTTCACCTTTCCTCCAGAGGGAATGGGCGGCTTCCTCAGCAAGGGCTGTTGGCAGGACAAACGTGGGCTTGGCTGTTAATGGTCTCTGCTTTCTCTTTCAGCTCTGAAGATTCTCACACTATGAGACTTTAAAGCTCTCCAATGAGGTTTAGTGTGTTATTCCCATTCCTTGAGCAGTCTATGCATTTCTGTGTTAATTTGACTGCAGTACAGTGGGCTGTCAGCTGAGAGGGAGCAGGCCTGCCAGGGCCGAGGGAAGACAAGGGAAGGGACCCGGGCCGGAGCAGCCTGGTGGGGGCAGGCTTGAGGATGGCAGCCCTGCAGCCACCGATGCCCTAACTGGCTTTGCTGTTGCACGTCGGCCTCCCGTGTCCAGCAACTCTCTCAAAACAGCTCTAATAAACTAGGTTGAAAGGGCAAGCAATCTGTGCTTAGAATAACCAGCTGTCAGGGAGGGGGAGTGAGCCAGCAGCGCAGTATGTCCTGGCACGATGGCCCGTCACTGTCCCCTGACCCTATTCAGACACACCCCCGCACTCCCAGAGCATGGATGGAACGACCACTGAGCTGAGAGCAGGAATTCAAGTACCTGTCTCTGAAAAAGCAGTCTTGGAAGCCACCAAAGTCTCTGGCACCAAAACTTGTTTCCCGGTGCTTAGCTGATCTCGTGCCCTGAGAGACAGAGGGAAAGCGAAACTGCTTCCCATTGGTGACCTATTCAGGACATTTCCCCCTGGTCTTACTTACCATTGGCTTGTACGGCTGTCTCTGTCACCCATTGCCCTGGAGAAAGGAGCAAGTGACCTCAACCTGCCGTCTCCGTGGCACTGTCTCTGCCAAGCCCTTTCCTTTCTGGTCTGCAAACCCTCCCTCTGGCCGCCAGCCTGGGCTTTCTCCAGCTTATTTGTAGGCATGGTGAATAATGGGTAAGCCTGTCCAACTTCCGACCTTGTTTGGCTGCCCACAGCCAGCTGCCTGGCTCTGCTGGGTCAGCCGGTGGGGAAGCAGGAAGGAGGGCGTGAGGGCTGAGTAATGTTGTTGATTGATTGGAGCTGGAAACATAATTCAGGAGATAATCTAGGATAGAACCACATGATTCTTTTGCCCAGCCATCCCCAGCCTTTTAGGCACCAGGAGCTGGTTTCGTGGAAGACAATTTTTCTACGGACTGGGGATGGGGTGATGGTTTCAGGATGATTCAAGTGTATTACATTTATTGTGTACTTTTTTTATTGTTACGTTGTAATATATAATGAACTAATTATACAACACAACATAGAATTAGTGGGACCCCTGAGCTTATTTTCCTGCAACTACATGTTTTTCTCTGGGAGTAATGGGAGACAGTGACACATCATCAGGCATTAGATTCCCATAAAGAGCACGCAACCTAGATCCCTCATGTAAGCAGCTTACAGTAGGGCTTGCGCCCCTCTAAGAATCTAGTGCTGCAGCTGATCTGACAGGAGGTGGAGCTCAGGCGGTAATGCAAATGATAGGGAGCGACTGTAAACACAGGTGAAGCTTCGCTCACTCACCCACGACTCACCTCCAGCTGTGAGGCCCAGTTCCTAACAGGCTGTGGGCAGGTAGTGGTCTGTGGCCTAGGAATTTGGGATCCCTGCTTTAACCCACATATTCAAAGAAGGGATTCAGTATTTGATGGATGTCTACTGTGCTCTAGGCATGAAGCATTTTACAGTTAACAAGTTTGTTTCCAGGGAGGCAGTGTGATGTGTCAAAATAGTGACAATAGTATTTCCAATAATGTATATTTAGCATTAACCGTGAGCTTAGGCACATGTATGACACCACATATCACAACCGCCCTATGAAGCGAGTACCATTATCACTAACCCCATTCTAGAGATGAGTACATGGAGGCCCTAAGACAACAAGGAAGGACACAGGGTCTCTTAAGAGGTAAAACCAAGTCTGGGTATCTGATATCAAGGCTCAGGCTCTTAACCAAAGCACAAACTTTGGTCTCAAGAGACCTGCCTTTTTACCTGAGCAAATCACCTAACTTCTGAGTTTGATTGCCCATCTGAAAACTGAGAATGAACTAAGAATGCCTTGCCATGTTGCCCAACTCCTTGAGGCCAGTTGGAGACCAGCCTGGGCAACATGGCAAGACCTCGTTTCTACAAAAATACAAAATTAGCCAGGTATGAAGGTATGCACCTGTAGCCCCAGCTACTCAAGAGGCTGAGGTAGGAGGATCACTTGATCCTGGGAGATTGAGGCAGCAGTGAGCCAAGATCGCACCACTGCACTCTAGCCTGGACGACAGAGTAAAACCCTATCTCAAAAAAAAAAAAAAAAAAAAAGAAAACAAAAGAATGCCTGTGGCCACTTTGATGCCATGTTGTTGTAGGTCTCTGATAAATTAAGATCTGTACAATTCTGTAAGGTCTGAGGGCAGGGGGAGGAAGACGCTTTTTCTCCTGCTATGTTGAATATTGCCACAGTCACTGAATACAAAACACTTCCTGTAACTGGGTGGTGAGTGTTGTCTCCCTACACACCAAGCATCCCGTTCTGTAGCTTCCCTAGCAGACGCTCCAGCTGTGTGTCCTCTGATTCAATTCAGTTCTGACACCAGCTACCTGGAGATAGTGTCAGATCCCACAGGTTGAGGGCTCAGTCCCACAAGACTTCCCTCACTTCAGATGCCAATCGCAAGCTGCAGGTTATGGGTTTCTGACTGATGGGCTATAAATTGTGGTCTCCACAAGCCTCTTTTCAGGTTCAATTAATAATGGTTCAATTTGCTAGAGTGGCTCCAGAACTCAGGAGACCACTTTGCTTACCTTTACCCATTTACTGATATGGATGTTACAAAGGATACAGATGAAGAGCCACGGGGCAGAGAGGGCCAAGGCCAGGCATGTGGGAAGGGGCAAGGCGCTCCTGTGCCCTCTCTGGGGGCACCACCTCCAGGAAGCTCCATGTATTCAGCCATCTGGAAGCTCCCCAAACAGTGTCTTGTGTTTTTCTTTTTTTAATGAAAGCTTTAGCATGTAGGCATGATGGTTAAAACATTGGCCACCAGCGGCCAATTTAACCTTCCACCCCTTCTCCCCAGAGGTTGGGGATAGGGCTGAAAGGCCCCACTCTCTGATCTGGTCTTGTCCTTTCTAGATGATCAGCCCCCATCCTAAAGCTTACTAGAGGGTCCCAGCCACTAGACATCTCATTAGCATACAAAAGACACTCATCACTCTGGAGATTCCAACGTTTTAGGATCTGTATGTCAGGAAATGGGAATGAAAACTGAATACTTATTTCCCAGTATCACAAGTGGTATACATATTTTATTAGGCACCTACTATAAAAATCAATCAACAAACATTTAAAGAGCAGTCACTTTGTCCAAGACATACTGCAAGTGCGATAAGATATTTAAGGACTTCTGAGATGTTTTCTCCCTCAAGAAAGGAAACAAGGCAGAATAAGACTGCCCTCTAACCAACAGCACAGACTGCAGCTGCTGTGAAGGCTCAGGAGACAGAGGAGTATGGTGGACCCAAGTGGCCAGTCCAGGGGCATCAATGGGAAGTGAGGAAGGCCCCAAACAATCAATGGGATTTCAATGGACAAAGAAGAGGAGGGAGAAAAGTCTCAGGATATGGAAAGCCACAGAGGCAGGAAGTTCAAAATGAGCTGAGGAAAGAGTGAGGAGTTCACGGGGAGGTTTGCACAAGACCACAGTGTGAAAGTGCTGGAGATCCGGCTAGGATGCAAGAATGTCCTCAAAAAGTAATGGGAGCCATGGAAGAGATCTGAGAAGGCTCCTTCCCCTGGCCCAGGTTAGGACTCTTGTTTTCCTGAAAAGCAAGAAGAGGGGGAAATACTTAGAAATGAAACCCAGAAAGAAAGCTTCTCTGTAGTACTAAGAGTCTAAACATAAGATTAATAAATCCTTTATTTATTTTTTTGCACAGAGCTGTAGCACTACGACTTGAGTGAAGGGTCCTTCAGAAAAAGGATAGGAAAATTGATTTAGATATCACTGAGAGTAACTTCTAATAGGGACCTCAGGAACATCCTGGGGAGAATCAGTGTTACTGCTTTCCAGGTGAGTGGTTGAGGCCCGAAGAGCTGACGTCACCTTCCTGAGACTGCAGGGGAGCTGGGCTTCATAATCTTCCCAACGCTTCTTCAGAAACTTTGAAACTTGGGCGGCAGAGGTCCCAGGGCCTCACTTCTGCTGCATATTTAGGGTCTCCGTAGCCACCCTGCCACTCCTGCTGTGCTCTTCACGGGTGTTCCTGGTTTGCAGGGTGTTAGCCTTGCTGGTATGCCCATGGCCAGTAAATGCAGGACCTCAGCTTACATTCTTCAGAAGACTATTGAAGATACCAGGCTTAGGGGTCAGGGATTCCCACGTGTACAACAGTCTGGGGCAGGGAAGAAGGGCAGTGAAATTGCCCTCACAGGGTTAATGAGATTATAAGCCAGGCTTTAGGGAGAATTCTAGTTAGACAATGACCAGGGTGGGTTGGTGCACTTTTTGATCCGCTTCCCTGAAACTGTTAACTAATCAAGAATGAAGTAGCATGCTGACCACCTGCCCCCCCAAGGTCTTGTTCCTACAGATGAAATCTCTGACAGTGGATCTTTTTCCCAAGAATTGCTTGAGGTGTTCTTCAGAGCTGCAGTTTCAGCAGAATGGCTGACCCAGCTGGCACGGGTGAGCCCAGAGAGAGGCTGGGAATTTAAAAATTTAATTTACTTAGAGCGAGCAGTTGCCAGTGAAATGTTGGTGCACTGTAGACTTCAGACATAAAAACAGCACCATCAGTGACTTCTGGAAAATTCAGGTAAAACAGCAAGCATCCAAACTTTCAGGCATTCTCTTGGGGGAAGTTGCCAAAGAGGTTGTCTGCCATAGTCAGCTTTATCAGCTTCGATAAGAAAATACTCCTCTTCACCACGTACAAGAATTTATTAAGTGCCCCTTTGCCTGCACCGTTTGCATTTAGTATGTTTTCAGTACATAGTTGGTAGGAGAGAAAGGGCACAGGTGTGCCCCTCGGAGCAGAGCATCCAATTGAGTACATTCGGAGCATATTTTGAGTGTGAGCCTCCCTGACAACACATCTTTTAGCAGTGATTCAGGGGACAGATTCAGCTTTTGTGGGGTCTTGAAGTTTATACAGTTTCAAGGGCCCTCTTTAGAGGAAAAGAAATACAAAATCATGAAAGAAAAGAATGCCTGTGACCACTCTGATGCCATATGACAGAGGGGGAATGTGATAGAAAACCAAGTGGAAAAAGCCAGGGGTCACAGCTGATTGTAGTGAATAGATCTTACTTTTGCAAATTTACAAAATTTTACGAAAGCTTGTGTCCAAGTGGACCCATTATTAAACTCCATCACGGGAGCCTGTGCAATTCAAGGAGCCTGAAGTTTATGCATCATTAGTTTCACAGTGAGTCTTCCCTGCAGCTATCATGGACCGAAATTAACCATCAGGGCACAATGGAGACCGCAGAAGTACCTCCAGGTAGCTAACCTGCAGAGTCCACAAGGGAGGACAGCAGCATGCAGTAGGCACAGTCGGACAGTGACAGCATGTGGAGTCCTGACAGGAGGGGCCCCCATGCCCACGGGCCAAGGCCAAGACTGGGCAGGACACTCAACGAGGGTGGAGTCGCATACAGAGAACAGAGAAATAGGTTTATGAAATATCAGGGCTGTACAGAGAGGCATTAAATGATGTCGCTATATTATTTCTTTTAATATTGCCATTTCCAGAGGGACAGTGTATTATCATCCTGAATTTCCAAATGAGAAGATTGAGGTAAAGAGAGATTGGTTTGCTTAAGTGGGAAGGCTTATAGCCAGGGCTTTTTTATTGTCCTTTACACTTCGTGGCCTGTCAAAGTCAAGTTAGTGCGTGAACCTCGGTTACACAGAACTGAGACACAATGTCACCTATCTGAAGTTTACCTACTTGTATGTGGTTTGTTCTCTGATCACTCCAATGCTATGGCAAAGTACTTCTTGAAATATTTGCAATCAGAGACAGATTGGATGCATTATGACTAGGTTCCAACGATTATTGATACACATCTATACAAAACATTGATTATAGATATATCTATACAAAACATCACCATTTTCCAAGTATAAAATCAGAAGGCTACACATATTAAGAAATGCTGAAGGAACAAAAGTATGTTTGACTTCCTGCATGATAAACATTTGTAAATTTTTACAACAAAAAGCCTAATTTTTCTTCCCATGAAGAAAAAAAAAATTTTTTTTTTTTTTTTTTTTTTGTAGACCGAGTTGCCCAGGCTGGAGTGCAATGGTGCAATCTTGGCTCACTGCAACCTCCACCTCCCAGGTTCAAGCAATTCTCCTACCTCAGTCTCCTGAGTATCTGGGATTATAGGTGTACACCACCATGCCTGGCTAATTTTTTTGTATTTTTATTAGAGATGGGATTTCACCATGTTTGGCCAGCCTGGTCTTGAACTCCTGGCCTCAGGTGATCCACCTGCCTCATCCTCCCAAAATGCTGGAATTATAGGGATAAGCCACTGCACCCAGCCCCAATAAAGAATTTTTTTCCTTTTGAATTAAAATACTTTAATCAAGGTTTACGGATACAAAATCAACATATAAAATCAATCACTTTCTTTTATGCCAGCAATATACAGCCAGAAAATATAATTATTAGAAAGTTCTCATTTCTAATTATAATGGAAATTTATATATAAGAATATAACAAAAATGTATACAACCTTTATGGAGAAAATCATACTTTAGTAAAAGATATTAATGGTGGCCCAAGTAAATGGAGAGAGATAACTCATGATAATGGATAGAGGAGTCAACACCAGAAAAAAGAGTGAATTTCTGCTAACTTAGTCTAAAAATTCAACTCATTCCAGTTGAAAGCATAATAGGCAGGTTAGGTAGAATCAGAGGGGGTATGGGCTTCTAGGTTTCTGGTCAGAAGCAGAAATGTGGTTCCTGCCTGAGCAGTGGAAGCAGAAAGTGTAGGCTTGTGGGCTCCCAATCCAGCTGTGTTAGTACTGGCTTCCTGATCGCTAGGTAACTTCTCCATTTTGTTTTTCCTACACTTTCATAGCTAACTGTGCATGAAATTCCTCTCTGTTTGAATTATCTCCAGTGGCTTCTGTTTTCCTGACTAGACATTGATATAGTGATACATATGTAAATGTCATGATCTGAATGTGTCCCCTGAAAATTCATATGTGGAAGCCCTACCCCCATCAATGTGATGGTATTGGAAGATGGGGCTTTGGGGAGGTAATTAGGGTTAGACGAGGGCCTGAGGGTGGGGTCCTTGATGGGATTAGTGCCCTCAATGATGAGAGACACAAGAGAGCTTGCTCTCTCTCCACACCTGTGCACACAAAGAAATGGTCCTGTTCGCACACAGTGAGATGTCAGCCACCTACAAGTCAAGAGAAAAAGCCTCAGAATGAAACCTACCTTCCTGGCACTTAAATCTTGGACTTCCCAGCCTCCAGAACTGAAAGAAATACATTTCTGTTGTTCAAGCTGCCCAGTTGGTGGTATTTTTTGAATAGCAGCCCAAGCTGACAAAGACAGTGGGCAATAAAAATGTAAAGAAATGCCTCGACATTCATATGTTGAAATCCCAACCTTTAGCATGCAACCATATATGGAGATGAGGCCTTCAACTAGTGATTAAGTTAAAATGAGGTCATTGGAGTGGAGCCCTAATCCAACATGACTGCTGGCTGTAAAAGAAGAGGGAAAGATACCAGCCAGAGGTGTGTACGCACAAGGGGAGAAGAGGGAAAGATACCAGCCAGAGGTGTGTACGCACAAGGGGAGAAGAGGGAAAGATACCAGCCAGGGGTGTGTACGCACAAGGGGAGAAGAGGGAAAGATACCAGCCAGAGGTGTGTATGCACAAGGGGAGAAGAGGGAAAGATACCAGCCAAGGGTATGTATGCACAAGGGGATGACCGTGTTAAGAGACAGCAAGAGGGCAACCAGCTGTTAGCCAGAGAGGCATCAGAAAACCAGCTGTGCTGGCACTATGATCTGGAACTTCCAGCCTCCAGAACTCTGAGGAAATAATTTCTCTTGTTTAAGCCACTCAGTCTGTGGTATTCTGCTATGATCACCTTAGCAAATGAATAGAATATAAAAGTCAAGTCAAGAAAGTATTGCCAGGCGTGGTGGCTCACACCTGCAATCCCAGCACTTTGGGAGGCCAAGACGGGTGGATTGCATGAGCTCAGGAGTTTGAGACTAGCCTGGACAACATGGTGAAATCCTGTCAAAAAATACAAAAAATACAAATATGAAAAATACCAAAATTAGCTGGGTATGATGGCGGACACCTGCAATCCTGAGGTGGGAGGATCGCTTGAGCCCAAGAGGCGGAAGTTGCAGTGAGCCCACTGCATTCCAGCCTCGGGGATAGAGCCAGACCTTGTCTCAAAAAAAGAAAGAAAGAATAAAATGTTAACTAAGATGAAAAATTTTGATGGCAGTAGAAAAACAGCCTGAAGGAAAAGAAAAAAGAGACAAAATAAGAAATGAGAGAAAGATTCAAGAAATGTCTTCTTCCTTTTTTTTCCCATAAACTCCTATATATTTTATTTTCTTTTATAAAGGGAGAAAAAATATTGGCTTTATTTTTACTTTGTTAATGGAAAGTCCAAGTGAAGAACTAAGCAATTACCCAGGGAACTAAACTCATATACAAAGTCGATAATTCAGGTTAAATTCCTCCTTTTTTTTCCCCTTGGAAATGCTTTGTAAACTCACAACATCTATATAACTGCCTTCTTCTACTTGCCTCTGCAGTTAACAGTAATATTTCACCAATTCAAATGCAGGATGTAAGACATACCTAACAGCAAAATCTCAAGAGCAAAGAAAAAAATAATGAACTTATGATGAAACCACAGTAAAGAAAAACCCAAAACCTATGGGAAACTGACTGTAAATCTGAAATGCATTCTTCCACAGACAAATGAGGACATAATTTGCAGTTGAAATGTTCAGGATATTAATGTTTTTGGAAGACTATGGTTTTAAGTAGAGTTGGGAAAAAATGTATATTAAAAGAGAGTAAAATCTTCATGTAAGTTATTTTTTTAAAGGCAAAATTACTTACAAACGTTTTTACATTGGCCACAAATCCAGATGATACTTAAAGTCAGTTTCCTGGATGATCTGCAAACTGAAAAAGTCTGCAATGCACTAAAATGTCACAGCCTCTCTGGGCTGTGAAGGAGACTTACAGGGAGAATTTGGTAAATTTGGGAAAAATGAGAATGCCAGACTAGAAAGCTCACTCTTGGACCCCAGCAGGTGCGTGTCCCTTATCTGGACCAAACAAAAGCGCAACTGTCTGTACATCAAGCCTTCTTGCCTCAAAGTTCTGGAAAGCAAAATCATTTTTGTAGCTCTGATTTTTTACGGTTTAATTGTGAAGACAGGCATTTTTTGACAGGGCATTTCTGAATGAGACTTGTATTTAGAGCTATGATTCTCATAAGAGGGGAAAAATAACAGAAATAGAATCTGCAAGGAGGTTTGTCTAGAGAAACATACTCTCACATGCCTCCTTCTTTTCGGAAGCCGTGACGGGTGGCTCTGGTGTGGATAGAAATAGGTGAACCCCCTCGGGCATGCGTGGTGGGGTGGTGGTGGGGGAAGGCTGGGAATCAGCAACATAGAAAAACAAATGTGGAAAAATGCTTTGCAGCAATGAGAAAGCAGTTTTTAAAAATGAGAATTTTCATCTTAGTTTTTATTTCTTTTATAACACATTTGCTTTAAAACTTTCTTACAAAATTTATTAAAAAGACATACAAACAACATGTGGAAGATGAGAATAAGGTTTCTCGAATACAAAAGCAGTAAGGTAAATAATATTTCAGGTGCGAGACAGCACGCACAGCATATTTATTCACCAAGACCAGAATCCCTGGGGGTTATTGCTTCTGTTTTTTCCAGCCCAATATTATTAGTTGTGGGAAGTAATTTGCTTGAATTTCTTTCATTCTCTGACTCCAGTTTTGCAGCTTCCTCCCAAGTAGATGCCAGTCGCTTCCCAAGGGTTTCTGGAAGCTTCAGTGTTAACACTCCACTGAGGAAGGCCATAGTTCCAACAAACACCTAGAAGGAATTAAAAATAATGATGAGTGACACATCAAGAAACGCATCCATCAAATAATAGAATTTCCTGTTTTCAGAGCATAATGAAATTGAATTTGACATAACAGTTGTCATTGTGATTACTCGGTGAGACCTTTGGTTACTTGTGCTGGACTTCGAGTTCTTTTCCTCATCAATGAGACTTAATCTCATCACTCACACATTCATTCATTCATTCATGACCCACCGTGAAGCGCCTACTCAATTGCCAGCTGCTGCCTGCATTATTACTCCTGGAGGCGCTGTCCTAGAAGCTGTGGTCTCAAAGGAAAAAGACCCTTGCCCCATCTTTCCAGACCCCAGAGTCTTGTGGAGGAGACAAGCAACTGAGCCCTGGGCTAGGACACATCAAGCAGGGACTGTCTTAGTCAAGCCTGTCCCTGACCCAATAATCAGTACACTATTAGAGTTCAGGAAATGATAGGGAATGAATGAATGAATGAATGAATGAATGAATGAATGAATACAGGTTTCAATAAACCAGAATTTGGGGGAAGCTAAGGCAGTGAAAACAAATGGTTACTTTATGGGGGAGGGATCCATGTGATTTCCTATATAGTTCGGTATGATTCCTTTATTTTCCAGATTTTGACACATAAAAGGCAACCTTTTAGACTAGCGCGAAGGCGTTTGCTTTTAAAAATGTAGGTCACATTAAAAATTAAAGTCTGCATATCTATTCTCTGTTTATCATTATGAAGATGCTAGGTGGTTTTTATTAACAGAACTAAATCTCTATACAATCTGTAAAAACACAATCCATCCTTACTTAATTTAAACTCCTTTAGCAAAATATATTTGCTAGAAAGACCCTATAAAAATAAATTAAGGTATGACTTTTCTGATAAATCTTCACACTTGGTATGTTTATAGCCTCTGAGAATGAGAGTCATAAAATACATAGAGCAAGTGTGAAGTGATGCCAGACCACATCCATAACAGATGAGAACTGGGAAGGCAGTTTTTTATTTTGTTTTGCAGAGCGCTGATAACCTAATTCTAAGAAATATATGAGTAAGCTTAACCGGGAAGCAGTAGCAGAATTTCAAGTGACATTCTAAAGGAATTTTAAAGGCATTTTCTGATCACTCAAGACATGGCAAGTACATCCAGTGATCTAGAAACCCCAGGAGGGCCCTATGTCAGGGTCTGAAAAACACTGAGTAAGTCTAAAAGCAAAATAGAATCAAATGGAAGATCCAGAACAGAATGGAATTTTTCTTCTTACCTTGGTAGTAAAAACAGGTAGTAAACGAATCATACATCTCCATCTCCTCCTTACTCCCGCTCCCCTGGCCAGCTCCCCACAATCCCACAAACACCAAACCAAACATTGAAACAAGCCCCCACTTCCCCACCCTTCCCTCCTTCTGGTCAGGTGGATCCTTTTACGCTCTCCAGACCCCATCACCTCTCACCTCCTCCTCAGAGATCTCCCTCCATCAATGGTCCAACCTCCTTCTCACACGCTTTTGACCTTTTCCTTTCTGCCAGTTATTTTCCCTCAGCAAAAAGAAAAGTTCTCAGAGGGCTGGATATGGTGGCTCACACCCATAGTTCCAGCATTTTGGGAGGCTAAGGCAGGTGGATCACCTGAGGTCAGGAGTTCGAGACCAGCCTGGCCAACATAGTGAAACTCCGCCTCTACTAAAATTACAAAATTAGCTAGACATGGTGGCACATGCCTGTAATCCCAGCTACTTGGGAGCCTGAGACATGAGGATCTCTTGAACCCAGGAGGAAGGGGTTGTGGTGAGCCAAGATTGTGCCACTGCACTCCAGCCTAGGCGACAAGAGCAAAACTCCGTCTCAAAAAAAAAGGTTCTCAAAGGTTGGGTGTGGTGGTTCACACTTATAATGCCAGCACTTTGGGAGGCTAAGTCTGGTGGATCATTTGACATCAGGAGTTTGAGACCAGTCTGGGCAATATGGCGAAACTCTGTCTCTATGAAAAATACAAAAATTAGCCAGGTGTGTGTGGCATATGCCTGTGGTCCCAGCTACTTGGGAGGCTGAGGTGGAAGAATAGCTTGAGCCCAGGTTGCAATGAGCTGAGATCGCCCCACTGCATTCCAATCTCAGTGACAGAATGAGACCCAGTCAAAAAAAAAAAAAAAAAAAAAAAGACATGTTCTTGACTCTTTTATAATCTCCATGCCCACATTGCCTGAGTATTTGCCACCTGCTACCTGTGTGGCCTTGGACAAGTTGCTTAACCTCTCTGCTCCTCAGTTCCCTTTTCTGTAAAATAGATGAAACGGCAGTATCTGTCACAAAGTACTGTTGAGTGGAATTAAATATTACACAAAAGGCACCTGGAACAGTGCCTGGCTGCGGTAAGCAGCCAATACATGTAAGCTGTCATTACTGCCATTACATATTGAAAAACAAGATGTTTCTTAATGTATCATCCCTACTGCTGTTATATCTTTTAAATCACCACACCTGGCGTTTCCCCACCCCAGCCCTTCTCTCCGGGGCTGGTGACGGTTTGCTCTCCTGCCCTTTCCACCAGAATGGACGTCTCTCAAGACAGTCTGTTTCTTGCATCTCTGCTCCTTGGCACCTAGCAGGGTGGCTAGTTCAAAATCAACCCTCTGTCAATGTTTGCCAAATGAGTTAATGAACACACAAAAAGTTAATTACGTGTCCACATTTTTTAGATTATTAGAAAATAATGGCATCAGAATGAGTGACTTTTCATGTGCCTCTTTTCAGAAAAGAAAATATAAACATCTTTCAGATCAGAGTTTTCACTTCTCAAATCCCATCTCTGTCACGTTTAAGGTGTGTGACCCTGGGCTAATGATTATTTTCTGTCCATCAGTCTCCTCATCTGTAAAATGAGGAGAACAACAATATCTGCATTATATTAAGACTAATTTTTATAAAGCACTTTAAAAAGAGCTTGTTTAGGCAAGGCGTGGTGGTTCATGCCTGTAATCCCAGCACTTTGGGAGGCTGAGGTGGGCGGATCACCTGAGGTCAGGAGTACAAGACCAGTCTGGCCAACATAGTGAAATCCCATCTCTACTAAAAAATACAAAAAAAATTAGCCAAGCTTGGTGGCGCATGCCTGTAGTCTCAGCTAATTGGGAGGCTAAGGCAGGAGAATCACTTGAACCCAGGAGGTGGCGGTTGCAGTGATCTGGGATCAGACCACTGTACTCCAGCCCGGTTGACAGAGTGAGACTCTGTCTCAGAAAAACAATAAAAATAAAAAGAGTTTGTTTAAATATCAGTTAAATAAAATTAGAGATCCCATTTAAGTCCATAGTCCTTAATTGAGCCTTACAGATATTCATTTAAAAAAATCTTTATTTGGTTTTAGTCTATTTATAGTAATTTGCTTTTATAAATTTATCTATTTCATTTTTGCATGTTCAACTTGTTTTAATAAATACTTTTCCATTTTATCTTTTCTTAAAACAAAATAAGGAAAATAAGTGCTAGCACAAAGGAGATGCTTCTGGAAAAGTCCATGGCCTAAAAAGGGTGATAGACTCCCCAAAAACACCTCCCACACAGCCCATATGGTTTCTTAACCTGAGTCAGCCTGAGATAGAGGCTGGGATCTAACACCGCAATGACACATCCAAGCACTTTACTGAGCACCTGCTCCTGGGACATGGGAGACACTCATGCCAAGCCAGCAGTTCCTGAAGAGCATTATGGGTGCCCGCTGTGTGTACAAGGGGACTCCGGGGGGCACCAAGCACTGTTTTATTACTTGTGAGATTATGTTAGTGTCTTTTAGAAAAACACATAACTAGTATAACACCCATGATCTCACTGATGTTATTGTTTAGGACAAAGCTAATTTCCAAAAGGCAGTCTATTTGATTTTAAAATAGTAAGTGAATGACAGCATGGGTGGCACACAAGCTGAAGGAAACACTGCTGGTCCTAGCTGTGGGGATGCAAACTGCCCTGCTCTGCAAAGCACAGCAGCCTGACTGAGGCGACAAAGACACACGTGCAAATGATAAAACCACACTGCGAACAGAGACTGCAAAGAGGCACCTGACAAATGCTGTACAGACATGCTTGAGAAAAGGAGAGGCGGGGTCACTGGATCTGGGTGGCCTCCTGGAAAGAGGATACCTGGACCGCTACTTAACAGATACATAAGAGAGGAGCGTTCTCTTTGGAGGGGCCATTGGGGCAGTGGCATGGAAGGGGAGGGGGTGGGGTGAGGACAGGGAGGAGATGGGAAGCACGCACATAATTCAAGACGGTTCAAGGCAAGAAAAGGGGCTGAGCATGGTGGCTGAGTGTGGAGAAGGGGGGAAGCTGCATGAGGAACAGGATAGGGGAGACGGGCAGGGGGGTCTATCGGGAAAGGCCCTGGGTATTGGCTGAGTTTGGATCTTTATTCTGAAGCTGACTGGGGCACTAGGTCATGGCCGTGGTGCCGTCTATGCTACCCTGATGAGGGGAGGATTGTTAGAGACAGATGCTTGTTCTTAGGTACTGCAAGGAAAAATTAGCATTCAGACAAAATGTTTTCTTAGCAAGGCAATTTTACTTACTACAGAAAGGGTGCTCTGGTTAGCTATCTTGCTATGAGAATACAATGAACAAAGGAAAGGCAGGCATATTTATTCTTTATGCGTTGGGTCTTTACTGCTGTGTCTGATCTCTGTTGGTTGGAGCTAGACTTCACAATTTAAACTGAACTTGATAGGCTAACAACTTAAAACTTTTCTCAGTAGGTAAAGGCAATAGAGAACAAAGGAAAAGAGGAAGTCTAAATGAGGAAGGGGCATAGGCCGAGAGCTGGGACATCCCTGTGAGCACGTCCAGCACAGATATCCTGGTTAAAGTACAAGGACATAGAATGTACTACATGCTTGTGAGCATGTGTAACATCTACATAGGATAGGGCTTAACAAAGAGTTATTAGCAAAAGTAAGAAGGCTTTGAAGAAAGTTAGTCTTTAAAACAAACTATTATTTCCAGCGTTCATTATTATTATTCTTTAACAAGAAGAGAAATTTTAAAGAGGAACTTTTAACTTTCTTTTCTTTTCTTTTTGAGACAGTCTCACTCTGTTGCTCAGGCTGGAGTAAAGTGGCACAATCTCAGCCCACTGCAACCTCCACCACCCAGGTTCAAGCGATTCTCCTGCCTCAGCCTCTGAGTAGCTGGGACTACAGGTACACACCACCATGCTCGGCTAATTTTTGTAATTTTAGTAGAGACAGGGTTTCACCATGTTGGTCAGGCTTGTCTCGAACCCCTGACATCATGATCCACCCGCCTCGGCCTCCCAAAGTGCTGGGATTACAGGCGTGAGCCACTGTACCCAGCCGGAACTTTTTACTTTCTACAGGGAGAAGACAGGGAGTCACTGGAGGCTGGCTGCAGGCGCAGTTTTGAAAGAGAATGTGAGGATTCAGTGATGAATGGGTTAGAAGGGTAGGAGAAAGAAAAGGATCAATAAGAAGCAGATGCCACCATGTCATGCTTGAGGCTACTGACTTATCCTTAACTAAAAATGGGAGACAGATGTCACTGGTCAGTTCTGCTTGGGAGACATTGAGTTTGTGGGGAGACATTGAGTTTGTGGTAAGACGTCCAGGGAGAATGCCCATGAGGCTGGAGGAAACGCGTGCCTGCAGCCGGGAGGAGAGGTCACACAGTCAGGGGGCAGGGAGGAGGCCAGGAGGGAATCCTGCAGCCTGAGTCTATCAAAAGCGCAATCAGAAAAAAGAAAGGAGGCACTGGAGGGGAGAGAGGGGGAGGAGCTGAGGTCCCGGAAGTCATCCCTGCTCTCCGCTCGTCCAGCATCTTCTTCCTGAGTAGAAGAGTCCACTAAAGCCAGGTGCAGCGGTGCTCACGTGCCTTCCCAGCCTCTCAGCCCCTACCTGAGGATCTGCAAACTAAGTGTCCCTGCACTTACTCTTTGAAACCAGGCAAATAGATCACACTGCTGGAGCCCCTCAGGTTCAGGTCAGCTGAGAACCATGGGTTGCTAATGCGCTCCATTAGGCACCACAGAATCTTTTGGGAGCAGGCTGCCTCCAGAATTCACCTTGCCCAGCAGGCATTCAGTGGAAACACAGAGGCAAGGGCCGGGCCAGAGGGTAGGGACAGTTGCCCTGGGGAGGACAGAGACCAGAGCTCTCCCTTCCCTAGGCCTGGCTTCCAAGGAAGAGTGAGGACACACGCTTCTGTGGCAGGCAGAGTTGTAATGCACAGCTCAGCAGTGGTGGAAGGTCACCAATGGCCAGTCGCACAGCAGTCACCACCCTACTCACCAACTGATGAGCTGTGGATAATGGGGCTGTTTCTGCAAACCCCGTTAGGAAATTATGAACTGGCTTTCAATAAATAACAGTAGAGAAGTCGCTAATAAGCAATTAGAAACTGTGCCTCCCTGCCACCTTGGGAAGGGTCTGCAAACTGAAGCGAACCTGTGGTATGAAGATCCAAATGCTCCTGAGGTCCACGGAGAACGGTGCCAGGATGCTGGCCAGGCGGCACACCATGCTGCCGCTTCCGACAGCCAGCGACCTGGAAACAGAGGAGAGAGGCCGAGACAAGTAAGGCACAAGTGACGTGGGGAGTGAGGGACCTGCTTCCTGCAGCTCCTCTTCCACCCTCCCCAGCGAGGATAAGGGTGTTCAGGCACCGCATTGCAACGTTTCGCTCAACCTCGACGGCCCCGTAAGATTATAATAGCACATTTTAACTCGACTTTTTCTATCTTCCAATATGTGTAGGTACACAGATGCTTACCATTGTTATGACTGCCTGCAGTGTTCAGTGCAGTTACATGGTGTGGAGGATCACAGCTGAGGAGCAAGCAACACTCTGTACCACACAGCCTGGGTAGTAGGCTAGGCCATCTACGTTTGTATAAGTTCACTCTGTGATGTTCTGACAACCACAAATCACCAAAGGATGCATTTCTCAAAACATATGCCCATCATTAGGCAACACGTGACCGTAAAAAATATGTAAGCTTGAAAATAATTTTACTTAGTTTTCAAGAATCACAATACCTACATTGTGTGAAACAGTGGTGTATACAAGCATGCACATAATTCAAGATAATTCAAGACATAAAAAGGGGCTGGGTGTGGTGGCTACACCTGTAATCCCAGCACTTTGGGAGGCCAAGGCGGGCGGATCTGGCCTACATGGTAAAACCCTGTTTCTACCCAAAATACAAAAGTTAGCCGGGTGTGGTGGTACGTGCCTATAACCCCAGCTACCTGGGAGGCTGAGGCAGGAGAATCGCTCAAACTCGGGAGGCAGAGGTTACAGTGACCTGAGATCAAGCCATTGTACTCCAGTCTGGGTAACAAGAGTGAAATTCTGTCTCAAAAAAAAAAAAAAAAGTCAAAAAAAGGTAGGGGTGTGGAGGTAAGCCATCCTTCATCTGCTGTGCAGATCAGACCCTTATGTGTATTGGTCCAGGCTAATATTGAGAATAATAAGGAATTTGTTTCAGGTAGGGAGTGGGAATAAGGAATTTGTTTCAGGTAGGGAGAGAACAAAGTATCTGTATACCTGTGGAATATTCTATTTCAACTTTGTAGAGTCAAGAAATATCTTTTTTTTTTTTTGAGACAGAATCTTGCTTTGTCACCAGGTGCCAGGCTGGAGTGCAGTGGCACAATCTTGGCTCATTGCAACCTCCGCCTCCCGGGTTCAAGCAATTCTCCTGCCTCAGCCTCCCGAGTAGCTGGAACTACAGGTGCAAGCCACTATGCCCCGCTAATTTTTGTATTTTTTTAGTAGAGACAGGGTTTCACCATGTTGGCCAGGATGGTCTCGATCTTTGGACCTCATGATCCACCCGCCTCGGTCTCCCAAAGTGCTGGGATTACAGGCATGAGTCACCGCACCTGGCCAAGTCAAGAAATATCTTAATGTGCTCTTCTTTAAAGGTTACTTAGAGAAATCATATAGAATGTTAGTAAGGAAAGACTGTTCCTTTATACAAGTAAGTACTTCTTTAAATTAATGATGCCCCAACTTTTCTGGGTCACGCACATTTATAAAAAACTAATAAAAGGTATGGCATTCTTCTGAGAAAGAAATCACATATAAGTAAAGTTTTGCATGCAGTGTTAGGGTGTTTAGGGAGCTCATAGAGTTGGTTAAAGGTTTCCTATATTAAATATTTATATACTAGATTTGTTTAAGGTCATGTATCTGTGGTTGTAAACCAACAACCAATCCAACAAAAAAATCTTTAAAAAGACTATAATATTCATAATTGTAATGCACACTGACATTATTTGATTGGATTGTCACCTTTTTAGCATATAACATTCATTCACTCAGCACATGTGTGTCAAGAGTCTAATTCATGCCAGACACTGCATGGATCTGGTCCAATCTGGATTCTGAACTGGGAAAATCTGCAGCTTTTCCTGGCTGAGCAGAAATCCACCTGAGAGGCCAGAAGGGTCCCACAGGACATGCCAAAGACGTTCTCCCTGATTTAGAGCAGATTCTTCCCTGGGTCAGCCACAAGGGAGCCAAAGCTACAACATGAATTGGCGATTACATAACTTGACTCTATTGCATTCAACTAGTCTCCACCATTGTCACCCCGTAAGTGCTAGAATGTAATCTGTTATTCTGCCTGCCACGTTTACAATATGATCTGAGAAGAGTTCACAAAGTCCTTACCCCAAAATACCTTCTTCCCCTCTGCTACCAAAGCTTTACTGCTGGCAACCATCCCTGGCTAATGTTAAGCACTGTCTCCCATAAAAATTCTCGTGTATTTCACTGGGTGGCAGAAAGGGCCAAAAGATGTGGATCTGAGTTCTGATGGGTCACTAACCAGCCAGGCGCCTTTGGCCACGACCCTAATCTTGTCTGAATCTCAGTTCCAAAACCTGTAAAATGGACAGAAGATGTATTTATTTTTAGACTGCTCCCCCAAGCACTCTGGGTGACCTAGAGGGAAAGTAGGAAGGAAGCAGAAAAACTCTACTCTCAGACAGCTGGGCTAAGAGACAATTACACCGGGAGTTATTCCTCTGCTATTCTATACCCCTGGCCACACATTAGTCTGATACACTTTTTCTTAGATATATGTGTGTACCTACTCTATGTATCCATTCTTCCATCCATCCATCCATCCATTCATCCATCCATCCATCATCTGTCTACAGCCAACACAAATGTACTTACCCATCCTGGTCCACAGGGCTGCCTGCCCTAGCATTTCAGCAGGCAGGTGTGTGGGCATGGAAAATTCCCAGGGAAATATTTATGCTATCTCTTGACTAATGGATTTTCCAATTCGTATATCCCTCCTGCTTGCGGAGACAAGGAGGAGACACCTCTGGGCTGGTATTTTGTGGACTTATCTCTACAGAAAGTCACTTGCCTTTCAAACTTGTAGCACTTGACAAATAATATACTCCTAAAAGGGATAAATCCACTAGCTGAGCAGTTAGATTTTTAGAAAAATTTTCCTGTGAGAAAACAATATCTTGTTTGTGTATTTGTTGTCATTAAGATTGGGTCTTTAATAGGCTAAGAAATTGTCCAAGCTCACTAACAAATTTTTTCCCTTAGAAAATAAAAACTTGGCTGGGCATGGTGGCTCACGCCTGTAATCCCAGCACTTTGGGAGGCTGAGGCGGGCAGATCACGAGGTCAAGAGATCGAGACCATCCTGACCAACATGGTGAAACCCTGTCTCTACTAAAAATACAAAAAATTAGCTGCGCGTGGTGGCGCATGCCTGTCGTCCCAGCTACTCAGGAGGCTGAGACAGGAGAATTGCTTGAACCTGGGAGGCAGAGGTTGCAGTGAGCCGAGATGGCGCCACTGCACTCCAGCCTGGCACCTGGCAAAGGAACAAGATTCTGTCTCAAAAAAAAAGAAAAGAAAAACTTATATTTGATAAAGCAGGTGTTAGGAAAATGCCACATGGAGGATTTAAGGGTGGACTGCCAATGGGAAACTATTATGAAACTTCAGAGGGAGATCTGTAGGGCAAATGTCTCTTGGCTGCAGTGTGACCCTATTTACACTTTAAAATACAAGATCATGTTGCAAAGAAAGACTCAAAAGTCTGATGGGCCGGGCGCAGTGGCTCACACCTGTAATCCTAGCACTTTGGGAGGCCAAGTCCGGTAGACCACTTGAGGTCAGGCGTTCAAGACCAGACTGGCCAACATGGTGAAGCCCTCTCTCTACTAAAAATACAAAAATCAGCTGGGTGTGGTGGTGCGTGCCTATAATCCCAGCTCATCAAGAAGCTGAGGCATGAGAATCACTTGAACCCAAGAAGCAGAGGTTGCAGTGAGCCAAGATCATGCCACTGCACTCCAGCCTGGGCGACAGAGTCAGACTCTGTCTCAAAAAACAAACAAACAAACAAAAAAACAAGTCCAATGGAGAATCAGAGAAAGGATGGCTTCCCTTTATAGCTGGGGAACCAGCTGTGCGTCTTGCACCAGGTACTTGATCTCCCTGCTCTCAGCTGTCTTATCTGGACATGAGAGCTACAACAAGAACTGTGGTTTACAAAGAATGCTCTGTAAAGGCCTTGAAGCTCTGCTGCAGGACCCTGGAGCAAAAAGGCAGGAGCACTGGGGGGATTCCAGTTTCCCCAGCAGAGCTTCCACAAAGGACCTCTGTCCTCTTCACCACATAAAGAGTTTCCAAGTAAAACTTATTTGGAAAAGCTTTTTAAAAGCTTGAAAGTCCCTGAGGTTCCCAAATCAGTGGGAATCACATTAGACATTCCCAAAGATGGGGGGCGGCAACTTGGAGTCACCTGCAGGCTTATTAAAAATCCCAAGTCTTGGTCAGGCATGGTGGCTGACACCTGTAATACCAGCACTTTGGGAGGTTGAGGCAGGTGGATCACAAGGTCAGAAGTTTGAGACCAGCCTGATCAACATGGTGACACCCCATCTCTACTAAAAATACAAAAATTAGCCTGGCGTGGTGGTGCACACCTGTAATCCCAGCTACTCAGAAGGCTGAGGCAGGAGAATCACTTGAACCTGGAAGGCTGAGTTTGCAGTGAGCCAAGATTGTGCCACTGCCCTCCAGCCTGGGTGACAGAGCGAGACTCCATCTCAAAAAAAAAGAAAAAAAAAAAAAAATCCCGAGTCTCATTCTTGGATTGATCCAGCAGGTCTGGTATAAGGACCCAGGACTGGTATTTTTTATGAAATGCCTCAATGACTGTTATGAGCTGCCAGATTTGAGGGCCTCCAGATAAGGTGATCTTCTCAGGGAGCCAATGACTGCTGGTGTTATGGGCTGAGTTGTGCCTACCAAAGTTCAAGTGTTGAAGTCTCAACCCCCAGTACTTTATGACATAATGGCATATCTAGATAAGGTCTTTAAAGAGGTGATTTAAGTTAAAATGAGGCTGTTAGGGTGAGGCCCTAATCCAATATGGCTGATGTCTTATAAGAAGAGAGAGGGACACCAGCGGTGCACACAGAGGTAAGACCTGAGAGGACATAGCAAGAGGGCACCACCTGAAGACCACAGAGAGAGGCCTCAGGAGAATCCAAACCTGCCGACACCTTGTTCTTGGGCTTCAGCCTCCGGAACTGTGAGAAAATAAATTTCTATTGTTTAAGCCACCCAGCCTGTGGTATTTTGTAACAGCAGCCCAAGCCGACTAACACAACTGGCATCAGAACATCGAGAGACACATTGTGAGAAATTAGGATTTGAGTCAATACAGAGACTCAGTGAAAGTCTATGGTACTTGAAACTTAAAATGTTTTTGGAATAATAGAGTCTTATTTCAAGATAATTTGTTTGATATCCTTGCTAATAAGGTACAACGCCTCAGACTCAGAATTAGCATCAGCATGTCATTTTCCCATCTCAGATATCCAGGTAACTTCTATGAAAAAAATCCAGCATTTACATGTAAAGGCCAAGTACAATGAAATGACACACAAGTAAAAAGATAACAGGGAAACAACCAGAAAATAATTCATCCTTACCTTACAATGGTTGGATACAGCTCAGCTGTATAAAGATAAATGAGGCCAAACGCTGCCCCAATGGCAAATTTTCCAACCATAGCTGTTGCCACACCCAAAACATAATGTTTCTGAAAATAATTTAGCAAAATAGATCATCACAAGTAATATTTTTAAAGGAAAATATAAAATCTTTAAAATAACGATTTAAAACATTTTAATTCCTTCAGTATTTTTTCAGAACAATGAAGAGCCATATTTTTCTGTTTGAATATATTAAGCTCTACTCAAAGTCTGTAAAAGCTTTCCATCTTTATGGAATGCAGAGGAAAGAATGAGTGTGCCTCTCCTCTCCGCCCACTTTGGAGGGTTTGAACTGTGATAAAAGCCAGGTGGGAAGACTGTTTTGGAAGGAGACACGCCCAGACAGTGCCAGTGGCACCAAGAATTTCCCCACTCCTTCTGGAGCTGATCCAACAGAATGAATCAAGGAGCCATAAAAACAACTGTGGGCTGGGCACAATGGCTCACACATGTAATCCCAGCACTTTAGGAGGCTAAGGTAGGAGAATTACTTGAGGCCAAGAGTTTTAGACCAGCCAGGGCAACAGAGCAAGACCCCATTTCTACAAAATCAAAAACAAAACAATTAGCTGTGTGTGATGGTATATGCCTGTGGTCCCAGCTACTGGAGAAGCCAGGTGTTTGAGACTAGAGAGAGCTATAATCACACCACTGCACTTCAGCTTGTGTGACAGAGTGAGATCTTGTCTCTGTTTAATCTATTTATTAAAAAACAACAACAACAGCCGGGCGCGGTGGCTCAAGCCTGTAATCCCAGCACTTTGGGAGGCCGAGGCGGGTGGATCACGAGGTCAAGAGATCGAGACTATCCTGGTCAACATGGTGAAACCCCGTCTCTACTAAAACTACAAAAAAATAGCTGGGCATGGTGGCGCGTGCCTGTAATCCCAGCTACTCAGGAGAGAATTGCCTGAGCCCAGGAGACGGAGGTTGCGGTGAGCCGAGATCGCGCCATTGCACTCCAGCCTGGGTAACAAAGAGAAAAACTCTGTCTCAAAAACAACAACAACAACAACAGCAACAACAACAACAACAACTTGTACCCTTTGTGGCAGTAATTCCTGGCTTATAAAGTATCTTCAGGAAATAATTTGGAAGTGATAACTGAATTATTAGTACAGACTTTTTGTTTGTTTGTTTGTGGCTGATATATTCCTCAACAGCAAAACCTTTATCTCTACCTCAGTTTCTATTCTACCTCATGTGTTCCATTTCCAGAGGTAACTAGCAAAGACACCCCATATTCCAAAATCTCCCTCCTCCCCGACCTGCCAGCTGGATGCTGAGACCCAGGGTGGCCTTGGGGCTCACCTGTTAAGGAAGGCAGTGCCTCTGTCAGCCTGAGTCCCTGAATGACTCCGTGGACCTGAACACCCACTCACCACTGCCACTTTGGCCAACCAGGCCAACCGTAGAACTTTCTATGAGCAGGTGACAAACATCCTTTATGTTAAGTCACTGAGATTCTGGACCGTCTCTATTAAAGCAGCTAATGTCACCTTAATTACAACTGTGGATATTATTTGTTAATTAGTATTTGTATTGTGTTGGCATTATCATTTGGGGAAAATTTTATTGAAGGGAAGAAATCTGTGGTTGTGGGTTAGTGCTCTATTTCTAGAAATCTCCATCAGCCTCTTTCTCATCTTCCCTATTACTATAGAACTCAAAGGTTCTGGTGTTCCCCAACTCTTCACCAACCTAAAGGCAGCTGCCAACTACTCAACCGTCATAACTGCAAACTACTTTTTAAAAGGTGTGGATGAAGTTCCCTCAAATTGGCAGAGACCTTCTTGTCCTGAATAGTTTTATTGCATTGTGAGTTGTGTATCAATCACCTGGAAATTTAATTACATAAAATATTTGGCTCATCAATCCTAATCATTAAATAAAGTGCTACTATAAAAGGAAGTCACTCGTTAGCTTAAATTACATTTCAAACCATATGCAAAACTTAAAATGCTTTGCTCTAAATGCTGATATACTATTGCATAGTGATTATATAATCACAGGAGAACATTAAATAAAATATTTTAAGTACTGTTATAGTGACATTTTCCAAATCAAGAATTTAAAAACAGGTCTGATAACATCTTTTTGGGGCAGAGAGGAAGAATTCTGGAAGCAAAAGGTATTTTGGGGGGATGCAGTTTGCCAAAATATAGAAGTATAAAAACCATTTCAGTAGTTTCTGGGCAGCGTTTCTCACTAAGAAATTGTTTTTAAAAACAAGCTCCTCGGGGTGTTTATACATACCAGACACTGGAAACTACTAATCTCCTGCAATGAAAAACAGAATAGTGAAACTCTAAGAGTCCTGAATACCTGACTCATATCCTTCAGATGTCTCCATGGCTGCCTCCCTCATTCAGGTTTCTGATCACATGTCACCTCCTCTGAGGGGCACATCATCCTTGACCACCCTAGACAAAAGAGGACACACACCTGCCCTGTGCCCACTCGTTACACTTACGGAAACCTGATGCACTATGTGTTCCCTACATCTGGCACATAAAAGACGGTGGGTATCTGCCGAACTAATAAATAAGTGAATGTTCAATATGATGATGATGCTGGAAGGTGTGATAGACTTTCCTCACACAAAATTATTGCGTTTACAAAATACAACACTGGTCATCTCTGGGAATTGGATTGTGGACTTTTTATTTGTTGAGATGGAGTCTCACTCTACCACCCAGGCTGGAGTACAATGGCTTGATCATAGCTCACTGCAGCCTTAAACTCCTGAACTCACGCCATCCTCCCACCTCAGCCTCTTGATCTGCTGGGATTATAAGTGTGAGTCACTGCACCCAGGTCGGGCTTTTTTTTTTTTTTTTGACATTTTTCTCATTAAATTTTCTACAATTAACATATATTACTTACATAACAGAAAAATTTTTTTAAAGAAAACATATTTTAAGTATTATATACGCTGTCCAATTCATACTCTGAATTGACCTTCATACTTAACTGTAATAAGCTAAAATTCTTCCCATCAAACTGTCACAGTATAACCAACAATTCCGTAAATAAAACATACAATAACTCACCTGGGGGATCACCATAATGACACCACAAGCCAGTGCACTGCAGAAAAGGGCGAAAACCAGGACTGTTCTCCTCCCGACCTTGTCCATGGCGATGCACACGAAAGTGTAGGCAGGAATTTCCACTACACCTGTCATTGAGCAAGCAGGCCCTCTATAAGGCTAAGGCATCTGGCTGCACAAGGGGACCCTGCCTTCTAACCCACCACCCAAAAGCCATGAGTAGCCCTTTCCTCACTTCTAGGGGCCTTTAGAAACTCTCAGGATTGCTGTGAGGCAGCAGGCCCCTCCATTTTTAAACTCACTGCAGCGAGGGTAAGCATTTCCTGTGAAATGCTCTAATGCTCATAATCCACCTGGCACCTGCAAATGGCACAAAACCAGAGCCCAAATTCCCACCAGCCCCAAATCATCTCCAGAGATAAAAACTTATTGAGAAATTTCACAGCAGAGAACTATTAAGCAGAAGCAGCCGTCTGCAAGAATACTAATGGCAAGGACACGGACATGAAAAATCCAAAACAGTGGCTAATATAAAACCATGTGTGATTGTCTTTGGAAACATTTTTGTATTTATGAGATTGCCCAGTTTTTTGAGAATTTGTATCTTTGGCAAAAGTAAGAGACTATGCCATGAAGATCTAAACTTCTAGCCTGCCTAAGCTTCCGCATTCACACTCCACCCCACCTGATCCACCTGCCACTGGCCACTCTGTTCTAGGGATACTGCACCATCCCAGATTGTCATAGAGAATGGGTTTGAAGTCAAGACAGGCTCTTTCTATAAACTTGTTAGTTTGCTTCAAAAAAAAAAAGAGTAAATCTTTTTTTCTTAAAACGACTTCTCTCATAATTCCTGCTGAGCTATAATAAAACAGATGTGTCTGCTGAGGAAATCAAAAAGAAAACCAGATGTGTCATCAGAGTGCTTTTGAGAAAGCACAATACCTATGTGTAAAAATTTAGAAGCAAGATGTTTTGAGGATAACATAAAAATACAGGCAGCCTACACAGAAATAACCAGGAGTTAAGACTAGATGGATAAAAAGAGGTTTCTAAGATTTCTCTCACATTTTAGTGCAAATTTGGTTTATACTAAGAGACACATCTCAAGCTATCAATAGCAATCTACCCTGCCATTGAAAGACGTATGACAACATAAATTATAGTTGCATGTATTTAAAAGTTATTTTGCCAACTAAAATTTCTAAATTAAGGACACCTAAAGGTTGAGAGATGCCAGATAGCCAAGGCATATTAAATTTTAAAGGGGAAGCAACTTATAAAGAACAATATATAGTGAGTGATCTCATTTGTGTTAAAATATAAAACATTTATATGCACAAGCATATGGAAATGCATAGAAATAGATCTAATCAGCATGGGACTTTTGGCCTGCTTCGTTTTCGACCTGGGCCAGTTCACCCCTTTTTAGGCAACCTGGTGGTCCCCCATTCCCGGGAGGTCACCATATTGATGCCGAAGTTAGTGCAGACACCAAATTGGCATAGCACACTGCAGCCCAGAACTCCTGAGCTCAAGCAATCCCCCTACCTCAGCCTCCCGTGCCACCATGTCTGGCACAAATGCATAGAAATAGATCTGAAAAGGTACAAGCCAAACATTGTAGAAGTCACCCCTGGAAAGAATTCTGGGCTGGGGATGGGTATGAAGAAGGTGAGCAAGGAGAGAAGGCAGAAATGGAGCAATTAAATTATTCTGATGCATTTTTTTTTTCAAATGGAAAAATACAAGGAGTCTTCAAAAAGGTCATGGATGTCCAGATGCTGGATTACGCATAGATTATGCCTGTAATCCCAGTATTTTGGGAGGCCGAGATGGGCAGATCACCCGAGATTAGGAGTTTGAGACCAGCCTGGCCAACATGGTGAAACCCTGTCTCTATGAAAATACAAAAATTAGCCGGGCATGGTGGCATGCACCTGTAATCCCAGCTACTTGGAAGGCTGAGACAGGAGAATTGCTTGAACCCAGGAAGCAAAGGCTGCAGTGAGCTGAGATAGCACCACTGCACTCCAGCCTGAGTAACAGAGCAAGGCTCTGTCTCAAAAAAAAAAAAAAATTTTTTTCATGAAAAGTGCAAATTATGAAAAACCTAGGCATTGTTTTTTCAGATTTTTTTCTGCACCAAAAGAAACTTGTACTAACTTCTTAGAACACGTCTGAAGAGGAGCTAGTTTGAGGCACTGAGAAGAAGAAATCAGTTTGAAAAGCGCTCCCACTAGAGCAACATGGATTCTGCTAAAATTGAAGCAAGAACAAACATCAAATTTCTGGTGAAAGTTGGGTGGAAGAATGGTGAAATCATTGATGCTTTATGAAAAGTTTATGGACACAATGCCCCAAATAAATCATAAGTTTACAAATGGAGAACTTATTTTAAGAAAGAACAAGATGATATTGAAGATGAAGCCCACAGTGGCAGAGCAATCACATCGAAGAAAAAAAATACATCTTGTTGAGGCCCTAATTGACAAGGACTGAGATTAATAGAAAAAGCAATAGTCAATACCATAGACACCTTAATTAATCTGGCTTACAGAATTCTGACTGAAAAATTAAAGTTGAGCAAACTTTCCACGCAATGGGTCCCAAAACAGTTGTGCCCAGATCAACTGCAAAGGGCAGAACTTTCATTGGAAATTTTAAACAAGTGGGATCAAGGCCCTGAAGCATTTCTTGGAAGAACTTTAACAGGAGATGAAACACAGTTGTACCAGTGTGTTCCTGAAGACAAAGCTCAACCAAAGCAATGGCTACCAAGGGGTGGCCGTGGTCCAGTCAAAGCAAAAGTGGACCAGTCAAGAGCAAAGGTCATGGCAACGTTTTTTGGGGATGGTCAAGGCATTTTGCTTGTTAACTTTCTAGAAGGCCAAAGAATGAAAATATCTGCTTATGATGAGAGTGTTTTGAGAAAGTTAGCCAAAGCTTTTGTAGAAAAATGCCTGGGAAAACATCACCAGGGAGTCCTTCTCCTCCATAACAATGGCCCCGCTCATTCCTCTCATCAAAGGCAATTTTGCAAGAGTTTTAATGGGAAAGCACTAGGCAGCCACCTTACAGTTCTCATGGTGGTTCCTTCTGACTTCTTTCTGTTTCCTAATCTTAAAAAAATCTGTACATGACACCCATTTTTCTTCAGTTAATAGTGTAAATAAGACTGCATTCACATGGGTGCATTCTCAGGACCCTCGGTTCTTTAGGGATGGACTAAATGGCTGGTGTCTTACAAAAGTATCTTGATCTTGATGGCAATTACGTTGAGAAAGTTTATATTTTACATTTTTATCTTTCAATTCCACTTTTCCATGAACTTGTTGAAGTCCCCTCATATGTACAGGTGTTACAACATAACACTAAGAGATACCGTAGGACTATGGTTGGCAGTATTGCTCTTGGTTTTAAAAGGCCTATTAAAAACATACTCTTTTTCTCAAATTCACACAGAAACACACATAAATGGTGGAAATCTCACTTCACTGCAAAATTTAAATACACTTTAACTACTTACCCAGGAGAAAGAGGTTTAAGTATTCATTGCCTCCTAAATTAATAGAATTCAAGGAGAAGGAGTAGAATCCCAAACTCCCCGTGAACCAGATTAGCCAAACGGTAAGTGTCCTTGTCGCAATGCTCCAGTTATAAAACAGATATGATAGGTTGTGCTTCTGAACTTCAGCGGGGCTATTACCAACAGGACCTTGTAGGTCCAGCGATAAAAGTTCTGACAGTTTACAGGAGCTTGTCCTGTTCCACTTGGCTATGATGTCAACTATTTTTTGTGCCTCTTCGTATCGTCCCTCTGAGAGAAGCCAAAGAGGTGTCTCTGGGAGCACCCAACAGCACAGGATAAAGGGGACAGTCACTGTGGAGAGGATCATCTGGTAAAGCCACCAGGTCCTGACCAAGTATCCTGTCAAAGCCACCAGCAGGGTTCCAGCTGCAAAAAAGGTATGCATATGGACAGACGCCCAAGTTCGATACTTCATGCCGATGAATTCCATCACATAGACAAACCCCACCACGAGATAACCACTTGCAACCTGAAAAACAAAGAATAGAGATCTATATTTAAGGTCACACTTGTAACTATTGAGGTGTCTGACCCCACTGCAAATCACATATTGGCAAAAAAGAAAATGACAAAGACTTGCTTTCTGAAACCCATATCACAAGCATGAAATGACATTCAACCCAATCTCTCGTTTTTCTTCTTATAGGTCCTTTCATCTTCCCTCATCCTCCCCACCCCAAATAGCAAAACTTGATAGATTATTTATAATAGAAATGTTAGACACTGCCTTTCGCTTCATCTAAACATTCCATTATAATGTCGATGTATTTCTCAGTTCCTTGTAAATGAGCACATCAAGTTATCTGTATTCAGGAGGTCCTTATTGTTAAATCTTAATTGCTAAATGGAGACAAAAAGTTTACACTAACTGGTGGCAAGAAAAACAGATTTAATTAAAATTTCGTTTTGACAGACAAAAAAATAGACAAATTTTAGACTTCATGAAACGTAAAACTTCTGTGCATCAAAGAACACTATCAACTGAGTGAAAAGGCAACCTACAGAACTGAGTAAAATATTTGCAAATCAAATATTTGATAAGGGATTTTATGGAGAACTCCTAAAACCCAACAACAACAAAAATACAAACAATCCAATTCAAAAATGGGAAAAGGCTTTGAATAGACATTTTTAGAAGAAATAGAAATGTTTACCAATCATTGAGAAATGCAAATCAAAGCTACAAAGAGATATCACTTCATACCCATTAGGGTGGCTAATTAAAAAAACCAAAAAATTAACAAGTTTTAGTAGGAACATAGAGAAACTGGAACCCATGTGTCATGTGTGATTGGAATGTCTAATGATACAGGTTCTAGGAAAAACAATATGGCAAGTCCTTAAAAAACAATTACAGCATGATCCAGCAATTCCACCTTTTGAGTATATGCCCAAAGGGATTGAAAGTGGGGCCTGGAAGAGATATTTCTCCACGCTTGCTCATAGCATTATCCACAATAGCTAAAGCATGGAAGCAACCCCCAAGTGTCTGTCCACAGATGAACAAATAAGAAAAGTGTAGACCATGCATACAATGAGTATAATGCTAAGTGAAATAAATCGGTCACAAAAAGACAAATATCGTATGATTCCATTTTTATGAGGTACTGAGAGTGGCCAAACTCATAGAGGCAGAATGTAGAATGGTGGTTGTCAGGGGCTAGGGAGACAGGGAATAGAATATTATGATTTAATGGACAGAGTTTCTGTTTTGCAAGATGAAAAGTGTTCTGAAGATGCACAATGGTGATAATTGCACAACAATATGAATGCACTTAATATCACTGAACTGTACACTTAAAAACGGTTAAGAGGGTCAATTGTTTGTTATGTGTACTTTACCACAATAAGGAAAACCAGGCAAGAACTTTAGTTTGAAAATATGTCTATCTTAAATTAAAATTAGATTACAATATGTGATTAGAATATAATATGTGATCATTCTTGGAATAAACAAAGAATGAGTCCAACGATGGTTTTTTTTTGGGAGGAAAGGGCTAAAAATTTTTTCTACTAAATTATTTTACATTTGACTTCAACACAAATCATTAAGTTAATTTTTGTAAAATTATTCAAGAGCACCGCTGATTTCCCCACAGGCCTCTCATAATCATTAGATATTTGAATCATACTCTTTCAAAGGCTCATCCTGTGATTATCCTTGCAGATGTTAATTTCTTCAAAAGTTAATAGGTCTATCTCTGCCAGAGGTTGTGGGTAGGATTCAGGCAGTGTTCCCTCATTGCTTTTAAAGACTTTTTTTGTAAACACGCATCCCTCATAATATCTGCAATTTCATCTTGCATCAGAAAGTCACAAAGAGGCTGTCAGAAAGGTTGACACCAGCAGAAGGCAGGGAGGTGCTCAGTGAGGTGCTGATTACGAAAACTACTGTATTCATAATCGGTTTAACATTTTTGTGACAACAGCTTTTATTTCCCTGTGCAACTTTGTAATGGCAAGACTCAGATCACTAGGACCCTATATCCAAGAATCCAGAAGTCGCTTTTGGTAAGTGCTACTGTTAGAGTAAATAAAGATTGTGATAACTTTCAAATACTATAAGTTTCCCGGTTAAATTAAGCTGTAATATTCGTCCCTGTCAGGTTTTTCAATGCTGATTATTTCTCATGTGTCAGCTACAACTTCCTCTGTCGCTGGATTCAGAAAAGTTATATACAGATATCTAACTCCAAAACACTCTGTGACTCCACTCAGACCCATCCCTACCATTGATAATACTCCTCACGTCTTCTCTGACTCCAGCCCCTCATAGAAGCCAGAATCCCTGGAACCCTCTCTGTGGATTGCCATTGCCTTTAGGAGATAGGGCAAAATCCTGACAATCCTAAAGGTACCACCTCACCGCCTCGACCCTTCAGCCTCATCAATGCATCCCTCCTCCTATTCTCCAGACATTCTGATTTTTAACTCTTTCTCATTTCAGGGCCCTTTCATCTGCTTCTATCTTTGCTGAAATCTTCTTCTCTCACCCATCCCTCACAATGAAAAAGTCCTTGACCCTCTAGACCCTGGTGAACCCTCCAGACCCACTGCTGTTATGCCCTCACTGTCAACATTTTATTTATTTTTGAAGATGGCTGATCAACGTCTTGCCTTTCCTACTAGACTTATTGAAACAGCTGGGTTGGGTTTGCTTAGCATTACACTCTGTAGACGGATCAATAAATGCATTGAGTAAATGAATCTGCCTGCATCTCCCATACTCAGACTTTGACCACAAACCAATTTCCCATGAACATCAAAGGAAATTGTCACAGAAAATTAAGGCCACATTTCACAGATGTATTCTATGGGTTTGCGGTCTTGTTTCCTTGGCTCTAGAAACCAAAGCGGGTATTTTGCAAGACTGAAACAGATATTTTCAGAAATATCCTCTTAACATCTTCCAAAAGATGACCTTTATACTTTCTCAGTATCTGTGCCTCCGTGGAACCTTCAGTCCCAGCAGAAGGTCTCTCTCATGAAACCTCACTCTACAGTCCCAGAGTTATGTCCTCAGTGGAAGCAGAATTACTGGTTGCTATCTTGTATTCAAATCTCTCTACAGTCCCAAAGATATGTATTTACTTTTTGATGAGATACAGCACCTTCTATTCTCCTAGATTTATTTTTATACATCTTCCTTATTCTTGGCCATCTGTATGGTTTGCTAGGAACCCTTTCTATCCATGAATAAAGACTCCAAAACTGACATCCCATCTTGTTCTCTGAGGGGGTGCAGAGAGATTTAAGTCCTTTGCTTCTCTCTGGACCCTCAGACCATCCAAGCTGCTGCTTTGAGGTTAGCAAGATCACAAGTGCCTCCCCCAGGTGGAAACTTCCCTCTATTATTCTTGATCAGTGATTTGCAATTGCAAATCACTGATGCTGTTGTGTGATAGTTGGAAACCTGTCTGGAAGCCTCACTGAGCATGGAAACAGCTTCCTTGCTCGCTGGTCCATTTCTAGTAACGGTCAACATTATAACCAGGGGTGGTACCAGGGTTGTTTACACTTAATCTCAGTGAATCCTGAGAAGAAGAAGAATAAACAGAGATTCTTTTCTACAGTTTACAGACTACAACCTAAGGTTCAAAGACGATAGTGAGTGTGCTCAAGGTCATACAACTAACAAACCAATATATGACACAGCTGGTGTTCAAACTCATGCCTTTTTCACTACACTCCCGTTCCTGCTAACATAAGGGCCTAATGCCTTCCTGCTTTCATTCTTCCTGTACATATACAAGTGACTTTACCCACACACCTTAACTGTGTGTTTGCTCATGTGAACAGGCTCTGACTAGACCAATATAATTGCTCAGAAATAAAATAATGCCTTAGTAATTGTGAGATGTGGGCCACGTGCCAGACACAGAGGCAAACACAAAGTTTCTGCCTAGCCAGCAACAATTTTTCATTTTAATGAGTTCCATTCTAAACATAAGGCATTAATATTCCGTAGACAGACTTCTGCAGTGGAGTGGACAAAGATTAGTCCTTGATCTTGCTCACTAGATCTTAAATGAGCAAAATGAAGAGAGTTAAGGTTTCCTATGGAAATCCTGCAGCAGAATTAAGCAGGTAAAAAAACCAACAACTCACCATGGCAAGAAAAAAGCGAGCGGCCATGAAGGTGTAATAATCAGCTGCAAACGCCGCCGCTATTCCAAACAAAAACATGCCGCTGCTTGTGGCCCACAAGACCACCCGGCGTCCTAGCCTGAAAAATAAGAGCCACACATTGGAAGAGGCAAGGTAGCATTGTAACCATTTAAACACCCACTCCAATTCATGAAAGATAGGTGTTACCTATATACCTTGAACAGCTTAGGTATTGATTGTTTTTCTTTTATTTATTTTGAGCAAACCATGTGTTCCATGGCTTCTTTAAAAGACCAGCTGTTCAGTGGAGAGGACTTTACCTCAGCTGCTAATATACATACCTGATTACTTGTTCCCGCAGTGCCCCTTAACCTGGGGATGGCGGAAGAGAGAGGAGACTCTGTCCTCTCACTTCCAAGACTTAGGCTCTCTGTTGGATCCTCTTCCCTGCCAGGCTGGCTCTGTTCACCAAGGTTATGACAGCTCTTGCCAAGCCCCCTAAAAACAGAGGTCTTGCTAACCTCCTGCTTCTAGAATAATGTGCTTATTTGCCCTATTTTTTTATAATTGAAAGAGGCATTTCTTTGTCTGAAAAACAAATAATATTTCTTTTTTCTTTTTTTTTCTTCTGACACAGAGTCTCGCTCTGTCACCAGGCTGGAGCACAGTGGCAGAGTCTCAGCTCACTGCAACCTCTGCCTCCCGGGTTCAAGCGATTCTTCCACCTCAGCCTCCCAAATAGTTGGGACTACAAGTGCGTGCCAAATGCCCGGCTAATTTTTGTATTTTTAGTAGAGACGGGGTTTCACCTGGATTTTTAAAATCATGATATAATTCAAATGCCATAAAATTCAACCTTTTAAGGTAGACAATTTGGTGGTTTTTCATATATTTGCAAGATTGTGCAACCATCATGACTCTTTAATTCCAGGATATACTCATCACATCACTCCCAAAGGAAACTCTGTACCCAGTAGCCAGCCCTCCCCATTCCCTGCTCCCTCCAGCTCCTGACAACCACTCATCTACCTTCTGTCTCCCTAGATTTGCCTGTTCTGGACATTTCCCATAAATAGAGTCAAGCAATATGTGGCCTTTTGTGTCTGGCTTCTTTTACCTAGTGTGATGTTTTCAGGTCCATCTGCATAGTGCCATGTATCAGTCCTTCATTCCTTTTCTATATCTGAGTAACACCATTATATGGATATTCCACATTTTATCTATTCATCAGTTGATGGGTCATTTTCCTCTTCCTGGCTACTATGAATAATGCTGCACTGAACATTCATGAACAAGGTTTTTTGTGAACTTATGTTTTCAATTCTTTTGGGTATACACCTAGTAGTGAAATTCCTGGGTCATGTGGTAACTTTATGTGTAACATTTTGAGGAACTGCCAAACTGGTTTCCAAGATGGCCGGCCCATTTTTCCATTCCCACCAGCAATGTTTGTGGGTTCCGATTTCCCCACATTCTCCCCAGTACTTACTATTTTCTGCCTTTTTTATTATAGCCATCCCAGTGTCTGATTGTGGTTTTTATTTACAATTCTCTAATGATTAATGATGTTGAGCATCTTTTCAAGTACGTACTGGCTATTTGCATATATTCTTCAGAGAAATATCTATCCAAATTCTTTGCCCATTTTCGAATTAGTCTATTGCTTTTTAAATATTGAGTTGTAAGAATTCTTTATATGGTCTGGATACTAGACCCTTATCAGATATATTATTTGCAAATATTTTCTCCCTATGGGTTGTCTCTGATAGATAGTTTAAGGCAAAAAATATTGTCTGGAAATTGCAACCAAGAGGTTTGCTTGGTGCAGCAGAGGATATGCAAATAAATAAGAAACTGTCATCTTCTTCATACATCAGCCTTCTTTGCTCCTTTGCATAGTAGTGGGGATTGTTGGCCCCATGCATGAATGTTCCCCAACCTAATTTTAGCCCTGAATGCCACCTAAAACTGTTTTCACCTATCACTGCTTGCCCCTCTCTCCCACCCCCAATGTGTTCTCTCTCAGTAGATGAGCGGCCATCTCCTGCAAAGAGCAAAGACCATCAAAGAGGAAGCCCCACGACTTCCTGCTCTGTCCACTTACCAACACGACCTGCATCTGCGTTCAGCCTTGTCTTCCTCCTGCCTCTCTGAAGACACATGCCCCTTTCTCTCCAAATACCATTTTGCAATCTTAGTATCGGATTGTGCCTCTTCCCACCTCCTCTGAAACCCATCACTTCTTTTTCCTTTATTTTTTCCCTCTCCTTTGACTTCTTCCTTTCAGTTTTAGTCTCCTCCAACCAAAGACAAGAACCTTGTCTTGACCCCACTGCTCCTTTGGCCACCTTGCATCTCCTCCCTTGACAGACTTATCAGAGGGGAGTATCTCCTTCTTCAGCTCCTACTTGTTTCCTCAGCCAGTGATGACCAGGTGCAACCGGCTTTTCTGAGCTCACTTTGAAGTCACCAGGGACCTTCACATTGCCTCTCCTGCTCCTTTCTGCCTATCTTCCCTAGGGCCACTGACCATGCCTACTCATCAGGCTCCTGCTGTCCCTTGGCTTGCAAAACATCCCTCTCTCCTGGTTCCGCTTGTACCTCCCTGATGACCGACCTGCCTCAATGCTGGCACTCCCTAAAGTCCTCTGCTGCACACGCTGCCCTTGTGATTTCAGCTACTTCCCTGCCTCTGATTCCTAAGTGTGAGCTATTAACTCCCCACTCACCGTCTGGCCCCAGTTGTTCTTCTCCACTTTAATGTCCTGCAGAGTTGCAATCTCTTATTGCTGTTATAAGGTATTAACGTTGAATACCTCTTCCCTTTGTTTTTTTCAGTATAGGGGTAGGACAAGCTCATTGGAATATAAACGCATTCCCCTCTCTTCTAAAGCTGCCCTCTCCCAAGTATTTCCTGAATTGGTTAGCAAAATCCCCTTCCATCAGGCTTCTAAACCTTAATACGTTCCTCCACTTCCTCCTGCATATTGGTCATCAAATTTTGTCAGTTTAGAAATGCCTCCCAAATATGTCTTCATCTTTTCCTCCCTGCTTTTCCCACTTTCACTCAAGTCTTCACCATTTCTTACATCATTCATCCCAATAGCTCCCCAGCTGATCTTCCCAACCTCACACCGGTATACCTCGCACACTTTCTAAAAATAAAATAATCCCCATTGTGCTTTTGTCTCTTGTCATTTCCTTGAACAATCTGCCCTCCTGTACTTCTGCCACGCTGACTTTCCCACAATTCGCCGAACATGCCAGGCTGCTGCATGACACAAAGCGCTTCCTTTTCCTTGGGGCCTTCTCCATCTGACAACTTCCATTGATCCTCCTTTGGAGTCTCATAGCAGAAATTCAGAAACAGTGTGATGCAGTAGTTGGGGATGCTGGCCTGGGCTCACATCCCAGCTCCATCTCTTATTTTCCGTGTGAACTTTCAATGCTTCCTTTTCCTTATTGGTTAAAAGAAAAGGTGGTGGGGGTGGGCAATAGTGTCTATCTCACAGACTTCCTTAAATAATTAAATGAGATAATATATAAGACATTTAAAGTAGTACCTAGTGTATAAGTAAATTGTCCATAAATGTGACTTTTTTATTATTTTAAAAGCATTTACTGGCTGGGCACACTGGTTCATGCCTGTAATCCCAGCACATTGGGAGGCCAAGGCAGGCAGATCACTTGAGGTCAGGAGTTCAAGACCAGTCTGGCCAACATGGTAAAAACCCTTCTCTACTAAAAATGCAAAAATTAGCCAGGCATGGTGGCACACGCCTGTAGTCCCAGCTACTCAGGAGGCTGAAGAAGGAGAATCACTTGAATCTGGGAGGCAGAGGTTGCAGTGACCCAAGATTGTATCACTGCACTCCAAGGTAGGCAACAGAGCCAGGCTTCTCAAAAAAAAAAAAAAAAAAAATTACCACAGTTCATTGAAATTATCTGTTTAATAGTCTATATTATTCACTATTGGCTCCTTAAGTATGGGATCAGATCTTACTACTTTGCTTTTCTTATAATATTTTATACATATATAAAAATGCATAAAATATGTACAATTTCAAGAATAATAAAAATCAAATGCCTAGAAATCACAACCTAAGGCAAGAAAGAGATGATTGACAGGCCCCTGTTAGCTTCTTGTACCTCTCTTTATGACTACAAATCCCTTGCCCTTTCTAGGAGGAAACGTTTTTCTAATTTTGGTGATAACCCCTTGTTTTTTATTTCATTTTACCATTTTATAAGCAATGCTAAACAATACAGGTTATTGTTTATAAACAGTAAAAGTTAGTTTTGCAATATGATTTTTAAATTTTCTGTAACAGGATAATATCACATGTGTTATTTTATGACTTGCTTCTTTCACCAAACATTATGTTTAGGAGATTCACCTATGTGGTTTCACGTAGCTGTGGCTCATTCATTTTCATGGACACACATCGTACTGTAAGAATATATTATAATACACGTGTCCATGAGATGATTGAAGGACACCAGCGTTGTTCAAAGTGCAGGGCTGTTAGGAACAATGCCATGGGAACACTTTTATCCATGTACCTCTGTGGACCTGTGCAAGAGCAGCTCAAGGTATATGCCCCGGAATACATGGCTGTGCACATCACCAACACTACATGATACCAAATCAGTCTTCAAGGTTATCTCAATTTGCATTCACACCAGCAGGATGAGAGATCCTATTACTCCATATCCTCACCAACACTTAGTATTACAAGACTTTGACAACTGGTCAAAAATAAATGGTGTGATTATATATCACTGAAAGTTCATCTTTTCATTAGCCATTTGGATTTTCTCTTCTATGAAGTGAATTCAAATCTTTTTCCCATTTTTCTATTGGGTTGCCTTTTTCCCATTGATGTAAGTAAAAATCCTTTGATTATTCTGGACACTAATAATTTAGTTATAGGTAAAGCAAATGTTTTCTCTCTCTTGTGTGCACACATTCATGTCTTTCCTCTTTTAATGGTGTCTTTTGGTGGACACAAATTCTTGTAATTAAGTCAAATTTATCCATCTTTTCTTTCATGGTCAATGCTTTTTAAAAAAAAAATCGTCCTTTCTTCCATTAGGTTCTGAAAATATTCTCCTAAATTATCTTCCTAAAGTTGTATAGTTTTGCTTTTCACATATGCACTTTCAGTCCTTCTGGAACTGCTATCGTGCTGTAAAATTTGAGAAAGTTAATCCAATTATATTTCCTTCTATATGGCTAGACATCTGTCCCAGCACCACTTACTGATTGATCCTTTCCTTACTAATATACAGTGCTTTATGTGTTTATACTTATGTTTATGAATACACAAGTCTATTCCAGGAGCCTCTAAGGGAGGCTCAATCTGTTTGTCTAGTAATATATCTATTTACTTGAATGATTTGATTCTTAAAGTTTATAATTTTCTCCACAGAAGGCCTTACTCACTTTTTGTTATATTTATTCATTTATATTTCATATTTTTAGGCTTCTGCAATGACATTTTAAAAATTTTATATTTGTTACTGGTATATAGAAATATAATTTTAAACGCTCATTAATTCTAATAAATCATATGTAGGACTTTTTTCATGCAGATTTGTAATGACTACAAATAATGACTTTTTATTCCTCCTTCCTTATCATTATTCCTTTCTTGCATCCTTTCCTTCTCCCTTTTTCTCTTTTTCCTTGTAGCACTGGCTAGACTCTCCAGTACAATGCTAAGTAGAAGACATGTTTCATACATCCTTGTCCGTTCCTAATCTCAGAGAAAAGCTTTTAACATTTCACAATTAAGAGCTGGGTACAGTGGTACATGCCTGTAATCCCATCTACTTGGGAGGGCTAAGGCAAGAGAATTGCGTAGCTCAGGAGTTCAAGATCAGCCCTAGGCAAAATAGCAAGACCCTGTCTCTTAAAAAGAAAAGAAAGAAAGAGAGAGAGAGAGAAAGAAAGAGAGAGAGAGAAGGAAGGAAGGAAGGAAGGAAGGAAGGAAGGAAGGAAGGAAGGAAGGAAGGAAAGAAAGAAAGAAAGAAAGAAAGAAAGAAAGAAAGAAAGAAAGAAAGAAAGAAGGAAAGAAAGAGGGAAGGAAGGAGGGAGAGAAGGAAGGAAGGGAAAGAAAAAAAAAGAAAGAAAGAAAAAGAGAAATTAATTAATATTTTAAATGTCACAATTGTGTTAAATCTTATCATAGAAAGCTTTTATCAGGTTAAAGGCATTCTTCTATTTTTAGTTTTTATCATGAGTGGATTTTGAAATTCATCACATGCTTTTCCTATATGTATTGAGTTGATCATATGATTTTTGTCCTCTAATATGTTAATGTGGGCCCAAGATGAGGGTAAACACAGGGTATTAAATTTTGTTTTATACTAAGTTTATACATTAATCTGTACTGTGTAAATGATGCTGGCAAAAACACAAGACGGTTGGGTCAGAGATGAAGAACTTCATTACTTCATTAGCAAGCAGTAGGGCAGCAGCATCTTTGTGACGGTTCCTCTTACCCCCAGGTCCCACAATGAACCCAGGTGACACTTCGTGTATAGTGGGTTAAATTAGAGAGGAGGAAGACTGGATGTGGGGAATCCACTGGTTTTGTGGCAAGCAGTTAGGAAGCCTACTCCTTGTGGCAGAGAAGAGACGTTATCTCATCTTTTATAGCCACATTATTTATGTGGCTATCAAAGAACACCTGAGACTGAATAGAGAAAAGAGGTTTCTTTAGCTCACGGTTCTGCAGGCTGAGAAGTTCAAGGGCACTGGTTTCCCACAAGGGCTCTTGTACTGATCACAACATGGCAGAGAAGGTCAAAGGTGAATCAGACACATGTAACGAGAGAGAAAACTGAGGGGCATCCTCACTTTAAAACAACCTATTCTTACAGGAACTAATAAATTCCTGTGAGAATTAATCCAGTCTTGTGACAGCAAGAACTCGTTCACTCACTGCCATGAGAACAGCACCAAATCATTCATGAGTGATTCGCCCCCATAGCCCAAACACCTCCCACTAGGCCTCACCTCCCAACACCCCATGCTGGGGATCAAATTTCAACATGAGCCTTGGTGGGAACAGACAAGTCATATGTAAACCATTGCACTCACCTTTTAAGGTACTGGCTGCATAGACAGCTCTGAGAAATGGCCCACGTAAAAAGTGGTCAGGGACTTGCCATCTTGGCACATCCAGCAAGAAGTGTAGAAGACTACAAAAAGTGTAAAGAGGCTGTCTGTCTCAACAAGTTCTGCTGTGAGAATACAGACACTGGGAGTCATGGACCATGTCGAATCAATTTTTTAGATTAAGATTTTTCTGGCACTCCTAAGTCATGTTAATTCAAGCTACATAGCCAAATGAATACCAGTTAATGGTTTACAACTTCTCAAGGACTTTAAAAAATATATGTCTTGGCTGCTCTGCCTATGGAGTAGCCATTCTTTATTACTTTACTTTCTTAATAAAGTTTCCTTCACTAATATATATACATATTTCACTGAAATATATATATAATTTAACTAATATATATTTATTTATATATTATAATCTATATATACTGCATTTATCAAAGTGACTGTAAGTAAGTATTCAATATATGTCTATATAACTATACCAAGTTCAGACAAAGGAACTAAATTTATTTTCAGTTAACATGTTTTGTACACTGACCTTGTTATAAGCATTATTTATATTCTGCTTTTGTCAGACAGCAAATGTATTTTAGTACATTTCATACATGTAATTGCAAATATTTTGAGTTTCAAGAGTCAAGCAGTGAACACATTTCAACAGAAAAGGCTCAAGTGATAATTTGTATAACAGCTTGCTGAATGAAAACAATAATACCTAGCACCTTTGAACATACTGCAAGACGTATGGCCCTGTCCATGACAAAGCTGTGTAACTTTTCTTTTGACATGTTTATCAGCCTCATGAGACTGGTATACCTCAAGGGCATAAGCTATTGTCTTTAGGTCTCAGTGCCCACCACCTGCCTGTAAAATCCACAACCTTCGAGACCAAATAAGTTCATCTCTGTGCTTTGATGTGGTCCATGTTCATACAGAGACGAACTTTGCTTTATTTTAAGAATTATACGTTCATTTTAATGTAAATTTTTTAAAAGTATTGGCCATGTTATGCTTTGAATGATAGTATTCCCTCCAAAATTCATGTTGAAACTTAATCCTCAGTGCAAAAGTATTAAGAGGGGTGGCCTTGGGAGGTGATAAAGTAATGACAGCAGAGCCCTTAGCACCCTCACAAAGGGGCTCAAGGTTGAAGGCACTCTCTTGCCCTTTCATCCCTTCTTCCATGTGAAGACACTGCATTTATCCCCTCCAGAGGATGCAGCAATAAGGCACCATCTTGAAAGCAAACAACAGCATTTCCAGACAGCAGTCCTGCTGGCACCTTGATCTTGGACTTCCCAACTCCCAGAACCATGAGAAATAATTTTCTATTGTTTGTTAATTACCCCGTCTGTGATATTTTGTTACAGCAGCACAGAAAGACTAAAAGGGGCTATTATATCAAGCCCATAATTTTACAGTTAAACTGCTTAGAGTCAGGCTATTCCTCTTAAAAAGCAAGAGAAGAAAATATTCAAAGTAATAAACAGTATCTATTGAGTGATTATACATCCAGGGTACTTTTTTCTGTATTAATTTTGCAATAACTCTTTGAAGTAAGTGATATTATTTTCATCACCAGCTTATAGACAAAGATTCTGAAATGCAGGTAATTTAGGCAATTTGCCCAGGGTCCACAGCTAGTAAGTGGTAGAACCAGGATTTGGATTCAGGTATACTGTCTTCAGAGCATATCCTTATCATTATGCATCCCTAAATAATGGATCAGCAAAGACGTAGGTATTTAGATAGGAAGTATAAAAATGACAAGTTTTAAACATAATTCCATTTCCCAAGAAAACCAGATAGGAAAATAAATCCTACACTGATGCAACAATCTTAAATATTTCATTTTACCTGTCAGCAAAGTAGCCAAAAGTCACCGATCCCAGTAGGACTCCAAACATAAATAGGGGCTGGATCAGCATTGCAAGCCATTTTCGGTCACAGACCAGGTTCCATTGGGTCACTGCGGTGCTTTTCCATTTGTTCTGGTCATATATGTAGCCATCCACACAAGGAAACTCTTTCTTACTGCCAGTGTATTCATAGTCCAAACTTGATGTGTTCTCCCTCTTGCTCCTGCTACACCTTGAGAGCTCCCAGATCTCACCATTCTGCAACTGCACTGCAACATAATCTTTATGGCCTGAAGACAACAGGGCCCCAGAGTCCTCCAAGCTCCAGTTAGAGTGATTGTGGAAAACAACCCGACTCACATTGCCTGGGGGCCTACAGACATGATAAGGGGCAACTCCCATGAACACAGAAGCCAAGTAGTGAATACCACAGGAGATGTTCTGGAAGGCACATATTAAATAGAGGACTTTCTGGAATCTGTAAGAGAAGAAAAGCTAAATATTATATCTGGTCTATAGGCTAAAAAAGAACATAAGCAAATTTGAAGGGTCTTTATTATGTTTCTCTTAACATATATACAAATAGATAAACCATAGAAATAATTATAGATGTATTTATATCTATGGGTTAATGTATTACCTAGTTCCATCTACTGAGAAGGCCCAGAAGCAATGACATCCCAATAGCAACAAGCACTCCCATTGCCCAGATCTTAGTTTCTAAATACCATTCTCCAATGAGAGAAGCCAGAAAAAATGGCTGATTCTAAAACCAGGACAAGAAGAACACAAGATAAGCCTGGAATATCTTATAACACCAGAAAGTAAGGAACTACTCAGAAAACAAAAGGCTAAGGGCATATGAAAGGGTCCCAGGTAGCAACCTGAAAAAGTTCCCAATGGCCAGTTGGAAGCTGAAACAATTTGAACAACAAAATAAATCCCACAGTATATCCCAAAGCATAAAATAAATATACATGAATCCATACTGTGACGGTTAATTTTATGTGTTAACTTGACTGGATTAAGGGAAGCCCAGATAGGCGGCAAAACATTATTTCTGGGCGTGTCTTTGAGAGTCTCTGGAAGAGATTAGCATATGAATCAGTAGACTGAATTGAGAAGATTACTCTCACAAATTGAGATGGGCATCAGCCAATCACTTGAGGGCTTAAATAGAACAAAAAGATGAAGGAAGAGCAAATTTGTTCCCTGCTTGAGCTGGGACATCCATATTCTTCAGCTCTCAAACATCAGAGCTCCTGGTTCTTGGGCTTTGGAATTAGACTAAGTCTTAACACCAGGCCTTCAGTCTGGGACTGAATTACATCACTAGCTTTCCGGAGTCTCCAGCTTGCAGACAGCAGGTCATGAGACTTCTCAGCCTTTATAACCATGTGAGCCAATTCTTGTAATAAATCTCGTGTGTGTGTGTGTGTGTGTGTGTGTGTGTGTGTGTCCTATTGGTTCTCTTTCTCTGGAGAAGCCTGACAAATACAATACAGGATACTCATATAAATAAATGAATGAAAAAATAAAAGGGGGAGAAGAGACCACTCTTTCTTACATTAGAATTCCAATTACTATCTGTAGACATTCCCTGTCTCCAGGAAGTAGAGTTTAATTCTTGCAATTTACTCCTAAAGGGTGGGCTAGACTTACTGACTTGCTTCTAAAGAACAGAGTAGGAAAAGAGGAAAAATAGTAAGTTTACAATGGGGAAACCTGAAAACTTGGCAAACACCGATGTCACCAAGTGATGAAGGTTAACATCCCCAGTGACGTCATGTGGATATGCTGTAACTCTCCTATGATCTGATGCGAAGGGTATTTCGTCTCTATTGTTTTCTTTCCAAAAACCATACTCCTAGTTTAATAATTTTAAAAAGACCCCAAACTGGGAATCATCTACAGGTTACCTGACCAATATGCCTAAAGACTGTCAAGGTCATAAAAAATAAAGAGAGACTGAGAAACTGCTATAGACAATTAAAAGCAGTCTGGTGCTCTGGACTGGATCCCAGAGTAGGAAGAGGACACTTGGAAAAACTGGCGAAATTCAAATGAAGTATACAGTTAGTTAATAGCAACATATTAATATCAGTTTCTTCGTTTTAACAAATATGTTATAGTAATGTAAGATGTTAATAGGGGAAACTGGATGAAGGTCATACGGGAACTCTGTACTACCTGTGTAACTTTTCCATAAATCTAAAATTATCCAAAAATAAAAAGTTTATTTAAAAACTTTAGAAAAATATAGTCTCCAAATTAATAAACTCAAACTGACAGTGACATATTTTCTGAAATAAAAAACTGCCTCATAAGGACAATTTGCACACAGGACAGCAGGATAGAACAGATAAAATTTGGAATTCCCCACAGAATTCCAAGCCCTGAAATTAAGAGGCATAGCAGACCTTTGAGCAGGTGACTTAATTATTTAGATTGAAAACAGAATCAGTTCAGACAATCACCAACATTGCTATAAAACCATTAAAATAGGAGGTAGGAGATAGGTCCTGTCAGATCAAATTGAGGTCAAATTGTACCACTGACACATGTGATCTCCATCACCCTTCCTCCTTTGCAGACCTGCCCACCCTGCTGCATCCTGATGCTCTCTCTCACTGGAAGGTGCTTCTGACCATCCCTCAGCTCAGCAGTTCTCACACTTTTTGGTCTCAGGAGACTTTATATTTTTACAAATTTTGAAGATTCCAAAAGGCCTTTCCTTATGTGGGTCATATTTATCACTATTTATGTATTAGAAATTAAAATGAAGAAAGAGCAGAGGAAAGAGAGCGAGCCAGGGTCTGCCAGGGAGGCCACGGGAAGAAGCTGGGACAGAGAAAAGGAAAACAGCAAGAATCTGGCAGACACTGACCCCCGAGGAGCCTGGAGTCTTACAGAAAGGAGGTGAGAGTGCATCTCTTCTCACCTTACTGCTATAACAAACTGCTGACTGCCATACTGTGGGAGAGCCCCTCTGCCTTCGTGACACTGGGCAATGCTGTCAGTGGTGATTTGGGAAATTCCTGGGAATAGAGTACCAGGTGACCAGCTCATGCAGGTGTGCTGACACTCCCCTCAGGCCTGAACTGAGATGGGTGGGCACTATACTGGTTGTACATCTGTTCTGAGCCACTGCCCTGTCCAAGCAACCTCAGCCTTTGTGATGTTGTATCACCAGATCCCCCAGAAACATACCCCACAACCACTCTGACTTTGGTAACCATGGGGGACTGGCAGGACCCTGGGGAGCTTCAGGAACCCCAGAAGTCTAGCCCTCAGTGCAGATTGCTTCTAGGAGAGGGGGAGCACAGCCCACCAAAGTGCCCCCTGGGACAAAAAAAAAATGTAGACATAGCACCAGTCTCTGAAGGGGACAGTAGTAGTAGCTGGGAAGGGACATGGAAAGGGGACCATCTCCTGCTTTACCCATTCTCTGTTGCAGATGTAGAGAGGCTTTCCCTGCTGGGAGCTGGCACTGGTGCAGTTGAAGAAAAGCTTTCTAGCACTTTTCACGGTGGCTGCACCCCCACTGAAAGTGAGGCACAGTACTGCCTGGGCTTTCAGAAAAGGCAGAGCCCCATCTCCCACTCCCTACACAAAGTAGCAATGTCCCTGCAACAGAGGACAGACAAGCCACAGAGCTGACTGCTCTGGCCTGGGGAAAGAGGCTCTGACCCGAGGCCATTTTGGTGGTAGCCACAATGGAAGCATTCTCACAGACCTCAGGAGTGCCAGGAGCCACCGGACAGTGTCCATATGAACTGAGGGTCATAAGCACTGTGAAAGGAGCATGAGAGTAGTGGACTGTGTTCCTGCCTGCCCAGGAGGAAGATCTGGTACAGCCCTCTGATGACCCCCACCCCTAAGACCTCAGCACCCCCATCAAGGCAGGGGCTTCCACTCATCATCAAACAACCTGACGGTGAGGTACCTTTTACCCTTAAGCATCACTTACTGGACTAGAGACTGAACTGCATCATCAAACAAAAAACCTGCTGTCAGAAAAGCACAGTGCTAGTGTATGAGACAAGCTTCCTGAGACCTCCATATTCCTAGCCCTACAGAAGATAGTGTGTCAGCTCATACACCCCATACATCACTACAACAAGCAGCATCTGGGAAAGCCACCATACAAATGATATCCGTAAGCAGGGAACCCATACAGACCCGTGGTCCCCTGAAAGCACTCAGAAACAAAGCCAAACAATCATACACAATATATACTACAGTCACATCCTCAAGGGAAAAAAGAATATAAAATTTAAAACCTCATTCAAATGTTGGCAAAATCAAAAATAGGAAGCAACAGCTCTATATTTGTCTGTTTTCATGGTGCTGATAAAGACGTACTCAGACTGGGCAATTTACAAAAGAAAGAGGTTTATTGGACTTCCCCATGGCTGGGGGGGCTTCACAATCATGGCGGAAGGCAAGGAGGAGAAAGTCACACCTCATGTGGACGGCAGCAGGCAAAGCGAGAGCTTGTGCAGAGAAACTCCCATTTTTAAAACGATGAGATCTGGTGAGACCCATTCACTATCATAAGAACAGCACAGGAATTACCTACCTCCATGATTCAATCATCTCCCACCACGCCCCTCCCACAACATCATAACGAATGGGGAAAAGTAAAAAGCATTCCTCTTAAGAACTAGAATAAGACAAGGATTTCACTCCCACAACTCCTAAATAGCATAGTACTAAAAGTCCTAAACATAGCAATTAGGGGAGAGAAAGAAACAAAAGGTATTCGAACTGGAAAAGAAAAAGTGAAATTATCTTTGTTCCCTGATAACATGATCTTACACTTAGAAAAATCCTAAAGATTCCTTCAAAAGACTCCTAGACTTGAACACAACTTCATTAAAGTTTCAACATACGAAAATAATGTACAAAAATCAGTTGCATTTCTATTTAACACTCAAGCTGCAAACTAAATCAAAAAGTCAATCCCATTTATTATGGCCATGCAAACACACAAAATACCTAGGAATACACTTAACCAAAGAAGTGAAATACCTCTACACGGAGAACTACAAAACACTAATGAAAGAAATCAGAAATGGTACAAAAAATGAAAAAACATCCCATGCTCGTGGATTAAAAGAATCAACATCACTTAAATGACCATACTCCCCAAGACAATCTACAAATTCAATGTAATTCCTATTGAATTAGCATCATTTTTCACAGAATTAGAAAAAACTTTTCTAAAATTCACATGGAACCAAAAAAGAGCCCAAATAGCCAAAGAAATCCTAGAGCAAAGCCAGAGGAATCACATTACCTGACTTCAAACTATACTACAAGGCTATAGTAACCAAAACAGCATGGAACTGGTATAGAAATAGACACACAGGCTGATGAAACAAAATAGAAAATCCAGAAATAGAGCCACACACCTACAGCCAACAGATTGTCAACAAAATCAACAAAAATAAGCAATGGGAAAAGGACTTCTTA